ACTCTGAGTAGATGTCTGTCTTTGTGGTTGAGGTGTGTTTCTTGTAAACAGCAGAATGTTGGATCCTGTTTTCGTATCCAATCTCTTAGCCTGTGCCTTTTAATAGGTGAGTTGAGTCCATTGATATTAAATAATATTAATGACCAGTGGTTGTTTACTCCTGTAATTTTTTTTTTGGTAGTAGAGTTTGTGTGTTTCCCTTCTTCGAGTTGTGCTGGTGAAGGGTCTGAGTTATTGTGGTCATTGTTGGACTCCTTGGTTTGTGATTTTTCTTCTATTACTTTCTGTAAGGCTGGATTTGTGGCTATGTATTGTTTAAATTTGTTTTCATCCTGGAAATTTTTGTTTTCTCCATTTATAATGAATGAAAGCTTGGCTGGGTATAGTAGTCTGGGCTTGCATCCATGTTCTCTTAGTTTCTGCAGTACATCTATCCAGGACCTTCTGGCTTTCATGGTTTCCATAGAGAAGTCAGGCAGGTGTGAGTGATAGGTTTCCCTTTATAAGTAACTTGACCTTTTTTCTTTGCAGCTCTTAATTTTCTTTCTTTATTCTGCATGTTTTGTATTTTGATTACTATATGGTGAGGGGATTTTGTTTTTGATCCAGTCTATTCGGTGTTCTGTATTCTTGAACCTTCACAGGAATATCTTTCTTTAGGTTGGGAAAGTTTTCTTCTATAATTTTATTAAATATATTTTCTGGACCGTTGAGCTGTACTTCTTCTCCTTCTTCTACCCCTATTATTCTTAGGTTTGGTCTTTTTATTGTGTCCCAGATTTCCTGAATGTTTTGTGATGAGAATTTGTTGGATTTGCTGTTTTCTTGGATCAGTGCTTTTATTTTCTCTATGGTATTTTCAGTGTCTGAGATTCTTTCTTCTCTCTTGTATTCTGTGGGTAATCCTTGTCTCTGTAGTTCCTGTTCATTTACCCAGAAATTCCATATCCAGCTGGCCCGCGGTTTGTGTTTTCTTCATTACCTCCATTTCATTATTCAAGTCTTGAACCATTTCCCTTACCTGTTTGATTGCTTTTTTCTTGTTTCTCTTGTTTTTCTTGGATATCTTTGAGAGATTTATTCATTTCTCCTACCTTTTTGTTTGTCATCTCTAAGGCAGTTTTCCACCTCCTGTTTAAGGTCCTCTATTATTTTCATATAGTTCTGTTTAAAGTCGATTTCTTCTATTTCTTTTGGATTTGGGTGTTTAATTCTTCTTGCTTCGGGATCCCTGGATTCTGGTGATGTCATGTTGCCTTTCCGGTTGTTGGAGGAATTCTTACATTGGCGCCTGCCCATCTCTTCCTTCTAATGGAGCCAGGAGAGACCTGGTGTCTTGGTCCAGTCTTTGCCATGACTGACTCTCTGGGTGGATCTCTTCAGTGTAGACGCAGAAACTGTTCCTGTCTGGATGGAACTCCTCAGCACTGAAAGAGGGACGCCTGGTAGCCCAAGGACACAACGGACAAAAGGGCGAATGTGGGGAGCAGAGCAGGGTCGAGTAAAACACAGGAGACCCTGCAGCACAAGCTGAAGGTGCCCGCGCTCCCTTGCGGGGAACTTCAGGTCTGCCCGGCAGGCAGGCACTCATCCCTCTGAGTGGGTAGCCTTTGTGCAGGAGCAAGAAACTGTTCCTGAGCCAAGGACCTTGCAGACAACAGGGCAGGCTTGGGGCATGGGGCTGGGTTGTGTGTAACACAGACACCCCTGCAGCAGTAGCTGGGGGAGGGAGGGTTGTGCTCTCTTCTGGGACAGGCTGCCCGGGATAGCACACACTCACCCATTCAGATGGAACTCGTCAGCACTGAAACAGGGTTGCCTGGTAGCCCAAGGGCACCGTGGACAAAAGGGCTAACGTGGGGAGTAGGGCGGGGTCGAGTTGAACACAGGAGACCCTGCAGCACAAGCTGAAGGTGCCTGTGCTCCCTTGCAGAAACCTTCAGGCCTGTCTGGCAGACAGGCACTCCTTCTTTTGTTTTTTTTTGAGGAACCCACTAACCATCTCCCAAATAAATCATAAACAGAGGCTTATTTTTAGCTTAGCATGTTTCTTGCCAGCTTTTCTATCTTAAATTATCCCCACTACCTTTTGCCTCTGGGCTTTTACCTTTCTCTTACTTTTGTAAACCTTACTTTCACTCCTACTCCATGGCTGGCTGGGTGGCTGACCCCTAGAGTCCTCTTTTCCTTCTTCTCTCGGTTTTTCATTCTCTTTGGTCTCGGTTCTCCTATTTATACTCTCTGCCTACCAGCCCTGCCTATCCTCGTTCCTGCCTCACTATTAGCAGTTCATCTCTTTATTAGACCTTCAGGCGTTTTAGACAAGCACAGTAACACAGCTTCACAGTTAAACAAATGCAGCATAAACAAAAGTCACACACCTGAAAATAATATTCCCCAACAAGAATCCAACCCTGGTCCTCGTGCATACTCTGTAAGCACTCTTTTTAATTTTTTTTTTTCCCAAGACAGGGTTTCTCTGTGGTTTTGGAGCCTGTCCTGGAACTAGCTCTTGTAGACCAGGCTGGTCTCGAACTCACAGAGATCCGCCTGTCTTTGCCTCCCGAGTGCTGGGATTAAAGGCGTGTGCCACCACCGCCCGGCTCTTTTTAATTTTTTTTAAAAAGAAAACAATCTATTTTTTTTTTCATTTTACATACTAATCCCAGTTCCCACTGCCTCTCCTCCTCCCATTCCCTCAGCCTTTCCCACCACCACCCCCCTACCACTCCTCCAAGAGGGTAAGGCAGGGCTGGAGAGATGGCTCAGAGGTTAAGAGCACTGACTGCTCTTCCAGAGGTCCTGAGTTCAATTCCCAGCAACCACATGGTGGCTCACAACCATCTATGAGATCTGGCGCCCTCTTCTGGTGTGTGGGAAGCAGAATGTTGTACACATAATAAATAAATTTTTTAAAAAAAAGAGGGTAAGGTACACTGCTTTGAGGAAGGTCCAAGGCCCTAGGTACTATATCTAGGCTGAGCAAGGTATCATCCAAAGAGAATGGGTTCCCAAAAAGCCAGTACAAGCAGTAGGGATAAATCCTGGTGCCACTACCAGTGTCCCCTCAGTCTGCCCCAGCCATTCAACTGTCACCCACATTCAGAGGGACTAGTTTGGTCCTATACTGGTTCCTTCCCTGTCAGGTTGGAGTTGGTGAGCTCCCTTTAGCTCGGATAAGTTGTTTCAGTGGGTGTCCCCATTATGGTCTTGACCTCTTTGCTCATATTCCACAAGCACTCTTAACTGGTGTCAATTAACTTTCAGAGCACAGAATCTTTGCAAATCTTGTCAGAATATAACCTTTAAAATTACAGTGTTGTCATGCATAGATTAATGCTGGTTTTGACACAGGTCCTTGTTAGATAACCCAAAATTTGACCTCAAACTTGAAATCATCCTACCAAAGGCTTCCTAGCACTAGGACTGTAAAAATACACCAGTATACCTGGCTATGTGTATGGCAAGAAAACTAACATTTGGGAAGAATGTGAAAAAAAAAATAATAATAAAAAAAACACTATTAGCAACGAGCAATTAATCTTCTTTCCTCAATCATCCCAGCAATGCTGGGGGTGAGCATTAATCCCTCGGTATTATATAGAAATCACAGCCTCTGCACACTTGAGTCGCATACTCAGCCTAATGTGTGAGCTTCTTTTCTACTGAAGCCTGCTTGCACTTGCTTCAGGCTGCTGCCCCACCATAGCTCTTCTTCAATTGTGAACCAAAACAAATCCTTCCTAAGTTGCTTTGGCCAGGCATTTTGTCAAAATTTTGAGAAAAGCAGGGAAGGAGGCATGATGGCCAGGAAAACTATAGCAACATCAGCCCAGGCAATGAACAGCTATAAAAAGCAATATATAGATCTCTGCTAAAGCCTTCAGCATCACCTTTAATCTAACCTCATCTATCAACGTTACCTTCAATCCCAGTGGTAAAGTTTTGAAGATTAAATATACATGGGGCGGGGGGGGGGGTGTTCTCTTGCAGAGTTCCACATGGGAAGGTGAGTACCACTCAGCCAGCACTGACGTCTCAATCTTTCTTACATAAGTTGGGAGAAGGATAAACCTCAAGTTTACATATCTGGCCAAGACTCTTGCAAGAAACAGCACAAGCTTCCAGAAAGAGGGGCACGAGACCTTCACAGCTGCACACACCCTACTCTGCACCTGGTACACTTAAATAACAGTGGCCTGCAAACGGACACTGTGCTATCTATTGAACACTAGCCTACCAACTGCCATTAATATTTAAAAGGTCCGTGCTGGGTAGATTTAAGAGCACATACCGCTCTCGCAGTGGAACCGTCTGGTTCCTAGCACTCACATCATGCAGTTCACAATCACCTATTAACTCCAGCTCCAGGGAAAGATGACATCTCTGGCCTATTGAGTAACTACGACTCATGAGCACAAACCCACACACATATACCTAACAAAAATTAAAACTAAACCATCTACAAAGTGACTTAACATTCAGATACCAATTCCCAGAACAATTTCAACCTTGACGTGCTGCTCCCCAGCCCCCAAACAGGGCTGGAAATATAGCTTCACATTGCAAACTGTTACTTAGCAGCACCTCTCAACTTTTGACAGCCTTTTTTTTATAGGAAAACGTGCTTCCCCTGCTAGGCAGTAATACCAAGACGATACCCAAGTTTGTGTTTACATCCTGTTTACTAGCCCAGATCACTTTTTGTTTCAGAGGTAGACTTTATGTGGACATTTGTCATGGGTAGAACAGCCAGTCAGGATATCAGTCATCAAAAGACTATGTCGCTGCACATTGTCAAGTGTTTTTCAACTCCAAAGGCAGAGGCTTTACCTATGCATAGGAGTCCCTTAACAGTGAACACCTTGCTCCACTCTCAGCAGGTGTTCTAGGCAGCCTACTCCCAAGTTACTAACCAGAAGTAGTTTTCCAAAAAACCTTCCACACACCACCTTTCAGGAAGCACCCTCTGGCTGTACATAATATAACAAAACTAACCATGAAGGATAACGCTGTTTATTAAAAATATAATCAAGAAGTCAGGGCATCGATGCAATTTTACATACACATTTGTAGTCTGAAGTCCCATTATTCCAGCAGTTCATATAAATGTTTCAGATCAAAAGAGAAAGAAAACACTTTACAGAGATGAGCAGTTGCTTATCAGTTTGGTTGTGAGTCCGTTTGTAGTAAAAATAAAACTCCCTCTTCCATTATTGAAGAATGTCTCCTTGATACTGAACAAGTCTGTAAGCATTAAGGAATTTCTTCTTGCCATTTTAACTTCTTGGCATATGCCAATTTTCCGACGTGGTTAAGTGCTATGAGTTGCCCGCTATTACTGTTTGGGTAACTGGGACTTTCCAGTGACCTGTCACCAGGTTACTCCTTACTGTGGATACCAGCTACAGCAATGTCAAAGCTGTATACCATTGACACCTATATACCACCACTTCTCAAAGAGTCATACAGAGCAATATTCGCATTACAACAGGGAAAACAAAAATGGGTCAGAAAACCAAAGTGTGAAAGAAACAAACGGAGGCCATTTCTGTTAATGGAACACCCAGAAGCCCTCAGGAAACCCTAGGCATATTAATACACATTTACACATTTCCTCCCAACCAGTCTTTAACGCTTGCTTCTTGGAATAATAGTGAACATCCTATTTCCTTAACTTGATACTTACTGTTACGAAATGGAAAAAAAAAAAAATCAAAAAACAAGGGAGAACACCAAAAACTCAATTTGCTGGTTATGGGCTAGGGAGATAGTTCAGTGGGTCGTGCTTGAGTCATAAGCATGAGGACCTAGTTTGGGTCACCAGCACCCACATTATAAAACAAAACAAAACAACAATAACAAAAAACAAACCCCAAAACTCAGGCATGACTGCACAGTGCTGGGAGGAGTGGAGACAGGAGGATCCGTGCCAGGCAGGAAAGAGGGTGGGTATGACCGGCCTGTTAAAGGCAGAAGCTGGTATTCTGGACTTTGGCCTTCAGCATAAGGTGCCCAAGTCATTCTCGAACAGCTATTGGCTGTACCCCTTCCTCATGAGGTGTGCCTAGCTTGACTACAGCCAGACTGAGCAGAATCCCTTACTGCTCTCCCAGTGTTGGTAGCTATAGGATATGCTTTTGCTGGGCTGGGCTACGGCACCTGCCACTTTGGCCTCTACCTTCTAGGACAAAGAAAAGGTTGTTAGCATCCTGACAGTGCACTTGGCTGTGTATAAAGTATGCCAGTGGTGCTTGCTGGTTCCTGAATTAAACCTTTAGAGATGACTGGAGCACAGCAAACCAAGGGCACATTTTCCTAGTGTGCAAAATTAAGGCCTCTGCTGAGAGTGCTTTAAAATGTAGTCTTCCTGACCCCAAATTAGCCACAGGTCCCAAGTACTGAACAGAGTAAATTGATGATCGATCGAAAGCTTTTCAGTGACTTCCGGTTCTGAAATATTCCAGTCAGAACCATCATAAGCATTCAACTGATGCAAGATATCAACGAAGCCAAATCTGCCAGCACCACAGGTGTAAAATGCAAATACAGATTATTTTAATATGAAACATCACTGTTTTATACAGATGTCTACATTTTAACAGATCTTTAAAAAGTGAGGAACAAAATGCTATGTTCACACAAAAAAACTTTGTGCTCAGTATGTAGAACACCAGAAATGGAGACAACAGGGCCCAGATCTTCTGGCCAACAGGGTGAAGCTGCAGAACCCAACTCCCTTCCCCTCTCCAGGTAACATTGCTCATTTAGAAGTCTCTGTGAGCAGAGAAGCTTCTGGCTTCAATTCCTCCACACTGGGCAAACTGTCAAGAGATTTCTGTCAGCAGGGGGTGTTTCCACATATAAGGCAAGGTCAGTGTAGAATGACAGTCACCACAGCAGTAAACTAAGCCACTACCTTCCTTTGGGGCAATGGGATAAAGAAGAGGGCTCTGTATCAATACAGTCAGCACAATTAGTTTCTTCAAAGTTTAGTTTTCTAGAAAGAAAGAAAGAAAGAAAGAAAGAGAGAGAGAGAGAGAGAGAGAGAGAGAGAGAGAGAGAGAGAGAGAGAGAGAGAANAGAGAGAGAGAGAGAGAGAGAGAGAGAGAGAGAGAGAGAGAGAGAGAGAGAGGAAAGAAAAAGATGGTGCATTTCATTTTGAAGGAGATGATGGCAGAGTTCAAATTTATTAGTCTTCATTTGAGCCTTAGGAAGGAATGGATCAGCTCCCATTTTCTTTCCACATTTTGTGTTCAAGAAGCTGTAAACAGAACCACCACAGCTGGACTTGTGGCCACACAATGACTTACTCACACTCTAAGTGCTTATTTTAAGACAGGTGGGCATGTATACAGCACAGAACTATAAACAGAAACAGTGAAGCAAAATTATTTTATTTTTAGGTAAAAACATTAACCTGATGGATTATTGCAGATCTGAGAAATGAGCACACAAACAAATGGACAGCATTGTTTACAGGTGCTTTGATCTGTGTGGAGACAAAGGCTGAACAGTTCGTCTGCAATTAACGCTGGGAGAAGACGAGAGGAAAATAGAGACTGAGAACAGAAATTTAAAACAGGAGTAAGGGAAGGAAAAAAATCTTTTAAAACTCCAACACGGAATGAAACTTTCTATCATTTTAAAATGGTCTGGCAATAGGATAAATGCTGGCCAGTCCAAGCTGTGGACCTTTAACCTACACAGAAAAATGAATGCACTTTCTTGCCTCCTTACCAGAGTGAAGGAAACATCATGTAAACAGACAGACCTAGTGTCACTTGGCAAAAAGCCAGGAGGTGCTGTAACTATAACCTAAGCTATAAGAAAAGCCTGCCTCCTACCTAGCTAGTTACAAAGGCTGAATTATATTGAGAATATTATTTCAATTCAATGAATTTCAAATTGTATTTTAATTTGAAAGAGCTGAGTATGACAAGGCCCAGGGCTAATGAAAATGTCTTAACTATTCATGTTGTATTATTTAAAAAAAGAAAATACAAATGTGTATGAACTGCAGAGGCAGCAATGAAGTAGGAAAAGAAAATTAGAGAGGTGGAAAGCACACAGAACCCATTTACTAAACTAGAGTTGTTAAATCCACAAGAGTTTAATGTCTGTACTTATGTACACGAGTTGTCTTTGGAAGAAACAAACTGCAAACTTAGCTAGATGGATACACACAGCCCAGAATTAAACTGCACAGTGACATTTTTATTGTTCCAGCCTGAAAAAACATCCCTTTGAAATTTCACACAGCAAAGCAAGTTAAAAACTTCACTCATCAAATAAATGATAATTTAAACAAGAACTTGCTAAAGAAACCTCATCACAACAACGTTTTAGGGCCTGATCACTTTAAGTCCACGGGGCCATTATGAATTATAATCTGCAAGCCGTTTTCCTACAACAAGAAGGAGAAACATGTTTCCTTGACTCAGGTGACACATAGAAAAGAAATCATGAATTTTTTCTTTTGCTGTAACAGGCAGACACTGATTTCTTGTTGTGATCAGGAAAGATGGAACGACTGTTGGCCTTCTCTTGCTGCTATCAACAGTTTGTCACGCATTATCTCAATGCTCGAGTAGTCCGGCAACTTAAGATAGTTCACACAAGTCATTACAGAGGGTAAGAAGTCATCTGGGTTTTCTGTTGATTCAAATGTCTTCCGCACAATTGTCAGAGGTGGATTTAAACTCCGGAACCCTAGTTAAGAGGAAGAGTTCCAGAAATTTGGTTAATTTTATTAAAAAGTCACCACTATCACAAGACATATCACTGCTTTGTTCTAGTGTTAAACTCCCACACAAAGTACTCCTCTCTCCTGGCTAATGATGGCTCACTGACTAAGAGAATTAGCCACTCTTCCAGAAGAATCACGCTCACTTGCCAATACATACAGGGTGGCTAACAGACATCTCTAACTTGAGTCCAAGGAGGATCCAACACTCTCTTCTGGCCTCAGAAATACTTGACAAGCAAAACACCCATATAGAAAATAAAAACTGAAAAATCCAAACAAAGCAGACTCGTTCAATTTTTATTTCCAGAATGTATTCTTATCTGAATCAACAAAGAATTTAAAATCTGCAAACAGTCTAGAACTTCATCTAAGCAACATTCCTGTGTATTAGCGATTATGTATGTTTAAAGCAGTCTCTGAATTTCCTTGCCAGTGTTTCTTCATACTCCTAAGCAGATAGGCTGGCAGCTTAGGAACATAATAGTATTATAATAACTAGGAGATACTATACTCCAAGTAATGGACTAGCTCTAAAGACAAATGATGTTTTTTTACTCACAGAATTAAGGCTAAGCACAGACACTACCCACCTCCAACTGGCAATCGTGGGCTACCAGTCACAAACTGGAGAAACAATCTCTGCTGTTCATTATCAAAACTACTGAGAATCTCAAACAAGAACTTCACAGCTCGACTAAAACAAAAAGTAGAACAGAATTATTTTGTGTTAAAACACTATGTCAATATACCCAGCCTTACTTATAATTATTGATATCTATTTTCAGATATAGTTACATATGAACTCTCATTATAACATACTTTAAAAGTTTATTTTGTCAACATAATTGAAATCCTAATGGAACAACTTGAGCAAAACTCAATTTTAGAAAAAAACTTCCCACAAACTGATGAGTTGATCCCTCTCCCTCTAAATCCCTAACTATTAACTGAACAGGCAGATCCCACACTTACCTGTCATGAGTATAGCCATGATCAGGCCTACAACATTCCATCAATGTCTTTGCATCCCAGGTGTCTGCTTTACTGCCGCACAGGAGCTGATCCAGCTTTGAGATGAAATAAGGAAAGAGAATTAGTAAAGAAACAACTGCATGCTTGGGTGACAAGTAGCTAAGGACATGGCTTCCAGGGTGCTGCTCTGTCAAGTCCCTTTCACACTGAGCAGCAGGGTGGCCTGGACGAGAATGCTGCTGCTGTACTTTCCTTTCACACAAGGATCCTATCTCCCCACTCCCAGACTTCTAGAACACCCTTATTTAACAAATTTCCTTAATCAGAAAATTTCGTTAGCTTTTCCCAAAACTCCAAGCCCTTACTCCAAAATGCTGTAGAATGGTAGGGTTTGAAGCAATAAGGTAAACTATTCTGCTACAATATTACAGGCAGAAATGAATGTCATTTAGATGTGAGCTACTCACTTCTTCTGGGTAGAAGTACTGAAGATGACTGAGTGGGAAAACTGATTCAAATCCATCTCTGAAGGAGTCAAATTGCCTAGAAACACCTTCATTTAGTGCCCAGAATATCACCAACTGCAAAAAGAAGACACTTTTAAAACTCCACAAAATTCCAAATCAATATAATATGTGATAAAGTATAGTAAATAACCTTCTAGAATCAACTTAAAAAAAATACACAAAAATAAACTCAGGTGGTGGCGGCGGTGCATGCCTTTAATCCCAAGCTCTCCCTCCAGAAGAGAATCACGTTGTTTTACCAGAAGCCAAAGACAATGTTCCAAAAGGTTAAAATGTTACTGAAATTAAAGATTAACATTTCAAAATTCTTAATTAGCAACCAGCCACACTTTTAATGTGGAGTGTTGACTTTTAAATTGTCAAGTCCTGAGAACCATCCTCTGCAGTGTGTGCCTCTTCTTCTTTTTTTTTTTTTTTTTTTAAAAATTCTTTTTTTTAAGATTTATTTATTTATTAAATATACAGTGTTCTGCTTACATGTATACCTGCAGGCCTGAAGAGGGCCCCAGATCTCATTACAGATGGTTGTGGGCCACCATGTGGTTGCTGGGAATTGAACTCAGGACCTTTGGAAGAGCAGTCAGTGCTCTTAACCTCTGAGCCATCTCTCCAGCCCCTGTGCCTCTTCTTAGAAACAGATACAGCTTGGATATTCAGGAGAACAAAATTGAGATTAAGAAAAAGCAGCCCTAAATTTACTCAGCTCCCAGTGGCCCTGATTAATTTACTGGTACACAGAACATTCAACTAACAGTTACAAAGTATTTTTAGGAAAGCAAGGATATAGAAGTTTGTACATTATTTGTTAGTAAGCTGGAAACACAGCTTCCCCATAGATGGAAGAAACAGATAATACAAGAAGATACCTGATTAGTTATTTTAAAAAAAAATTACTTGAGTCACAGGGCTGTTGGGAAGTCAAGGATCTTGGATATTATCCTCTTTTTAAAGAAAATAAAGAAACTAGAGTTAAAGTTTTTCGGAGACTCTACAGTCCCACACAAGATTTTAAGTAAGGTCAAGGTTTCAAAAATGAGTACTCTAGCTTGAATCCAATGTTCTTTATAGCCCGTGTCAGGTATAAACCCAAGTAAACTTTTAAACGCCGCTAAATGGAAAAATACAGTCTGCAATTTTTGCATGCAACAAGAAATAGTTTCTCATACATTTAGCAACCTTAAGTCTACAGTTGTAAATACCTTTGGGGTGAGCCCAACAAAGGCATTAAGTGTGGGTATGTGTGCCTATATCAGTATTTTAAAAGCAATTCTGCCAAGGCTTAAAACAGGGACAGAAATGTAGCTCAAACAAGTGATAACTTCTTTTTGCTGATATCTTCTCTTACAAGAGAAAAATGCAGTGTAATGCACAGTATTCAAAATCAGGCTTAAAGACAGGCCAATGTAAGATGCATGAGGCACCAAGAAAAAACTGGTAAGCTTTTTACAGACATGTTTTCTGCAGAGTAAAGGGATATGAAATACAACCTTTCAGCTCTAGAGCTTCTTCCCAGGCTGAGAGAAGATAAGTGGCATCTATCTATACAATGCTGCTCCATCATTATGGAGCCTTTGATGGGTGAATAACAGCTAAGGAAATCCACTGTGTCCTTAGAGGTAACACAGGATAAAATTTAAGGTCACTTTTCTCTAAGTCACCATTGGGGTAAGCAGCAGACAGAGTTCACAATGTTGAGGGTCATCATAAAAGTGGACTATGCTGGACCTACTCAATATGCAGTTTTCGGTAGCAGATTATGAGACTGGGTGGAAGACTGTGTTTCAATGATCCACAAAGTCTATCTATCTACAGGTCTCCCCTTTTATGTTTAGACTTTTGTGTCTACTATTTTCAAAGTGTGGAGGAAGCTAACTTCTTATGGTTTCTTTGTTGTTGTTTTAGCATAAAACATTTGTGTGTTCTCTACAAAGTAAACAGAAGCTTACAAAGGCTAAAATAAAAGGGCCTCCAAGAATGGTTCCAGTGGTGTACAAGGTCTTTAGCAAAGGTCCACACAGGCAGAAGCTAAGAGATCAAATTCCACCAACCCTAACACACCTCTTCATAGAAACACAGCAGACAAACTCCTATGGCCCATGACCCACAGAAAAAAGACAATACATACTCTTAGGTAGTCCTCTAAATTGTGGATAGTGACTGGTATATCCTTCCCTCCTTTCTTCAGTTCAATGTTGGGAAATCCCGGCAGTGTAAAGTCCAGTCCCAGATCTTCCACTGAGCAGCCATTCATTGTGAGAGTTTCCAAAGCATACTGTAGACTCTCTTTAGTCTTTCAATGCAGAGAGGAAGAGCACAAAAATTCATGCAAAATTATATTGTATTCACAAAAATAAGACGTAACACTGTAATAATTGATGGTTCCTTTAGTTTCTGATTAAATTTTTGGTCACATACTACATTAAACAAGCCGCTGGGATCACAAAGGAAATCATTTTAAACACCTCAGTATCAATGCAATTATTTTTGTGGAGAGAAACAAGATTGCTGGGGTTATTTTCCATACTGAGAAGTAATTTCTCCCTGGAAGCACATTCAAATCACATATTAGAGAAAGTCTTTACACATTTTTGTTAAATGTTAAACAAAAAAGAAAAAAAAAAAACACTTTTCTTTATTCTAGGCCATTATTTATAAGCCTAACTATATACCCATGAATATATAAAATTTGTAAAATTACTGACAGTGTAATAAACTTTTCCCCTCCCCTACAAGGCTCAAGTGTAAAGCACACCCTGGAGATGTTCACTTCCTGTCCCCAAAGCACAGCACAGCTTTGTATAGTTGGAATGGGTGGCTTCCAAGAAAGCTGAGCCACATCACATCAAACCCAGAAGATTTTTAAAAATGCTTACAACTTGAAAGGGCTACATAAAATGCCTTTTTTTTTTTAACAGCATTAAGGTTCAATGACAAACACAAAAATTTAAGTACTAAAAATAAAGACATTTAATTAATGCTGATTCATTAGGAAGTTCTCGAACTACCCTTCATTAAAGCAGACGGGATTATGGGAAACAAGTGAGGAGGAAATGGAAGAAAAGTCAAGAGAGAGGAACACAGGAAATACTGGAGGAGTTTGCTCTCAGGAGAAATCTACCCATGCAGATACATACAATACAACAACAGAAAGGATACTACCTTGGGGGAAGAAAGTTAATGGAGTCGGGGAAAGGTAAAAATGTGTAAAGTACAATAATGCATTTGAAAAAATCCTTAAGAAACCTATGTAAAAAATAAAATAAGCCTGTCTCTAAACAGCCTGTCACAGATCAAAGTGATCCCAACTGTCTACCCCAATTACATAGTCATGTATAACATTCAGAACATGTTTAAAGACTGACTGTTAGTTTCTCTGGCTTATATACTAGATTAGACTTAATATATTCCCAATTATCTTGTGAGAATTTAACCTACCAAGTCAAGGGTCTAAAGGTCTAGCTCAGTAGTAGAGTGCTCGCCTTGCAGACTTTAAGTGGCAGGTGTGGTCAAATCTGAGCCAGAAAAATGTGTCCCATTTGTATGTTTTATAAGACAAGGGGACAGTGTGCCAGGGATGTACCTCAGCTGTTTATGGCTTACCTGTCAGTACTACATAACCTGACATTGTGACAAACACCTTTAATTCCAGCATTTGGGATTCAGAGACAGGAGGATCAGAAACTCAAAGTAATCCTTGGCTACATAGTACATTTACATAAAGTTAGGATACCAACTGTACATACATCTTACAAGATTGTGTATATGTGAGGTAATCAAAACATGCTACAACTTTTATCTCCTTTCCTTTTTTCCCATTTTGTATGTAATACATGCTAAATAATGTGACAGAAGTTTAAAGTACTAGTGTCTGCAAACCTTTGGATAAGAATAAGGAATCACCCCTGAAGTTCAATGGACAGCTAGTCTAGTCAACCAGTGAAATTTAGGCACAATGAAGGATGTATCCCAAAACATCAGGTGGAGAATGATTGAGGAAGATATCCAAGGTACATCTCTGGACTAAGCAAACACAACAAAAATCTTGTAGTTATTCAGTACAAACCTATGCAATTCTAAACAACTTCTTGATAATAATATCATTTATCCATTTATTTTTGTGTTTGAATGTCTTTGTCAGAATATGCACCCACATGTACATTGTGTGTCCAGTTAAGAAAACTGTCAGATCCCTAGAACTAGAGTTACAGATGACTGTGACTTACACCAAGTAGGTATGAGAATCGAACCTAGATACCCTTGAGAAGAGTAGTAACTGCTGAGCCGTCTCTTCAGACCAAATTCTAAACATAAGATTAATTTTTAGACAGAAATAATTAAAAAAAAAAAGACCTAAATTGTGTCTTAGTTTCTTTTCTGTTGCTGTGATAAATGATTGAGAAATCCAACTTAAATGAGACAGGGTTTATAGCAAGCTACAGCCTGTGCCAGGACAATCACAGTGGTAAGAGCTTGAGAGAACTGTTCATATCACAGCCACAGTCACAAACAGAGCTCAACAGATTAACATAGATGCTCAGCTCACTTTCCCTACTCTTACACAACCTCACAGAGCTATCCACTGCAAGCTAGTCTTTCTATATCAATTAACATAATCAAAAAACTCAATGCGGATACACCGCCAGAGGCTAGACTCAATCTAAATAATTCCACATGGGTATGCCCAGAGGCTTGTCTCCTAGGTGCTGACAATTAATACTAATAACTGTTACAGCACCTTTAAACACTGTCTCCTCATAAACACAACTGGGAGATAAAATGAATACCCTTCCAAATTATCTTCCAGTCTCTACTGTATGTACCCCACCAAGGTGCAACACTGTCTTTTATTAGCTTGCTAGTCTTACCTTAAATAATCTTAAAGTGCTAGAAAGATAGCTGTTAACTTTACTGGTGGCTGATCTTAGAGGGGACCTAAAATCCATATGATGGCTCACAGACCTGATGCCGTCTTCTGATCTCTTTAGGAACCAGGCACTCATGCAGTATATAAACTTACATACAGTCAGTCATACATACACATTAATACAAATAAATAAGCTATGAAATGACAGTTGGTTAAACCTACACAAACAGAAGCTACTGCACCATGTTGTTTTACAAAATACAACCTGTTTTCTTCTGATATTCAATACCCATACATATAATCACAGATTAGCCTAAATGAGCTGATAATATATACATTTAAAAACACAATAATGATAGAGGATCAAGATTATGAGACGAAACAGAAACCTTAGACATCTATGAATCTTTTCTTTATTAATAATACTGTATAGTGAGCCTAGCACCTCACACATGCTATTTTAAGTGCTTTACTATTGAGCTGTATAGTCCCAGCCTGTCAATAACCACTAAAAACTATTTCCAAGCTAGGCGTATTGGTATAAACTCGCAATGCAAGCACAACCTGTGGTGAAGAGGAGAAAGCAGACAAAAATAGAAATACCTTTCTGAAGAATTAATGAGAAGGCATGTCATTATCTAAAATTTAAGACAAGTGGTCTTTGAACTTTCATTAGAAGTATATTTTATTTAGAAGTCAAGACATCCACTTGCTGTTATTAGAGATCACCGTGGGTACATTGTGAAATCATACTTCTGTTAGTTTAAAGGGCACATTAAACATCTCCAATAAAATGAAATATTGCTGGGAAAGACAGATGGATCAGTGCTTAAGACTTCAGGGCAATTGTTGCTCTTTCAGTTTCTAGCTCCAATGTGACAGCATCTGATGTGCTCTTCTGGATTCCAAAAACATTGCATGCAAGTAATATACAAACACACATGCAGGCAAACACCCATAAAGATAAATACATGTTTTTAAGTTAAAAAGCAAAGTAAATACTACCGTCAAATTAACTAGGTCAAATACAAACCAGTGAAGAAGTCTCATAATTCTGACACAAAGAACTGATCTGACCCTCTGGCCATCTCCTCTAGACCTACCTGGGATTTATCCTGCTCCAGTCTTTTCTTCTGTCTGACAATGTCTTCTAGGTGATATACTGATCTGGCAACAACAGGATCAATGTCAAATAAATCATGAGATGTCAGTGAAGTTTCCTGCCGCAGCATCCATTTATAAAAGGGCAGGCCAAGCGGAAGGTCCACCTGAAAGGGAACAGGCAACATACTTTGTCACAACTAGTTTGTAAGAGGTCATTTGAAAAGGTCAAATACTCTCCAAGAAAAAAAGCCATTTAGGAACTGTTTCTCTTTACATGAAACCAAGAGCCACAAATTGGGGCCCAAATCTCTGTCAACATTTTAGAAGTTAAAGAACCTATAAACTTTACCTGAGTACCTCTGAAACACTATGAAGTGTTTTGACTTTATTTTGAACCAAGTCAACTCAATACAATTCTACTTATGCATTTAATATTTTGAAATCAGAGAAGGCAAAAAGAACTTACTTAAAACAAAAAATTAAAATGACAGAGCTTCTAAAATAACTGAGCTGTATACACCTCTTTGCAGAGAATGTAGACTTGTGGGTTTATCAAATGAAAATGTCTCATTCATATTGATAAAGTAAGAAAATGTGAGAAGAGGAAATTAAGAAAAGTCCAGAAATATTCAAACCTTAATGAATACTGATCACTTGGTTTATTATGCAAGAATATCTAACAGAAATTCAATGAGTTTACCTACAATGCTCATAGCTTTCTTGCTGAATTAAAGTCTAATTGAATCCTGAAAAAAATTCAATGAATGCCGTCTTCATGTTGCCTGGCTCTGAACCCTGGCCACTAACGGAATGGGTTGGGTGCTGTTACCTCAGACACAGGACAGCCTTACATGTGTGCTACAGAAGCAGAACTGGCATTTTAAACAGAAGCAGCTGGTGCACACATTCACAATAGAGCAGCAGTGCTCTAACACACAGCACTGAGTACAGGGAACTGAAGTACTTTCACAGAACATTGTACAAAATTACAGATAAGCAAACAATCCTAAACTTACCAATCTGAAATCCATGATAGCCTTAGCCATTAATTTTCCTAAGAAGCGAAATTTCATCTTAACCTTTGCGATATGAGCCGGCTTAGCTGTCCTACCAAAGGGAAGTGCAAACAGGCCCTGGAGGTTTTGAATATACTTGGTCCCTTCTTGGCTTCCTGTAAAACGAACAAGTCACCAAATTTCAGATGAGATTTTCCAAAACAAAACAAAACCTAGTAACTAAGAACATTAAGAAATTCAGTATTCACAAAATTGGAGCAATGACCTCTAAGCTGGAAAGCCTTCCCACTGGATAAGTTAGAAAACAGGGGCAAAAAGAAATCAAAGGCCAAGAACACAGCCCCAGCAGAGACTAAGACGGAGGCCCCCTTACCTGATCTGAGTCATACAAACTGAACGGCTCACAGCTGCACATTACCTTTTGGATTGCTAAGAGTTACTTCTTCACCTCTCCAGAGACCCAAATCAGCCCTCTGTAGTTCCTGAGAAACAAGTGCATAAAACTCCAGTGTTGGCCCAAGACCTGTACCAACCTAGAAAAAATGAAATAAAAAAAAAAATCATTTTAGAAACTGTGGTGCCTTTTATGCCTGGCAACCTTTTGGTAACATGGACAATCATACAAGGTGTTTGTCAGGAAGCGTAAGAGATAGTTTTGCAAGATGTCCTGAATAGACATTCTCTGAGTCTTGGGCACTAGAAACCCTTTATCATTCCCCCAACCCCAACATTCCAATTGTATGGTTCAAAACTCTTGCTGCAGTTATCAATTTTTCCTTTAGAGAACAACAATGTACTATTTATACATGCTTATTTTTCTCTTTAAGGGAATTATGAACCTCAAACAACTCAAGAGCCATCTTCTCAGGAGAAGCCTCCCAATCTCCCCCAAACAATTAGTTTGGCTCTTTCCTATGACATTCTAGGGTTTTACCTCTATTCCATTACATACTTGCAAGTTTTAAATGAAGAGAATTATTTTGACTGCCTTGAATCCCCAGAATCTAACATACATTTAATAAGAATCTAAGAGTTAAAATTCAAGGCCCAAATTCATGTCAGGAAACAGAAGCTTAGATCAGTGGCCCCTATAGGTCCAAGGGTACACTGGAAGCCCAAGACAATTATCAGTGTTACCACACATGCACCCATGTGTGTCAGAACACAGCATTTCAGCGGTAGGAGTCAAGGTGGGGATCTGGAGCTATTTTTATTTAAAAATGAAAATTAAAGGTTCAGCTTCCAAAGTGTCTACATGACCGCACCATCATCAATATGCTTGGAGCAATGTTCACGGACTCAGCATTCCTCCATGTTCTAGCAAGATCCCACTAGTTTAGCGCATAATAAACAAAAGCAAGAAACAATAATAAACTTATGTCACAGTTCAAGATTATAATGTAACAATAATTGTTCAAGTGGCCACTCACTTACAAACCATGTGTAAATAAGAGATATTTTATTATTACACGTACTTTTAAAATGGTGCATACTATCGATCCTAAAAGTTGATAAAGTCTACCATATTAATTTCAATTTTCAAAGCAGTGACTGTTTGCGCCCAGAAAGTCATTCTGATTATATTCTACCCTTTCCACTAACGTCCGCATGAGTACCACCACGTAACCATAAGTGAGGACTCCAACGGAAATCTGGTAGTTCACCTTTGGCTTCTTATTCCCCACAATCTAAACCAGTATGTTGTGTGATGTTTTACTCTATTGTTTTTGAGGAGCCTACCACCCAGCTCCCAAATGAATCACACATGGAGGCTTATTCTGAGTTATGAATGTCCAGCCTTAGTTTGACTTCTTGCCGGCTTTTCTTAAATTAGCCTAGTTTTTAGCCACTGGGATTTTTCTTTTTCTTACTTCATGCCTTACTTTCACTCTTACTCCTAGCTTTGGCTGGTCCCTAGAGTCCTCCTCCCCTTCTCTCTTACTCCTCTCCTTTCCCTCAGTTCTCCCTGTTTATAACTCTCTGCCTGCCAGCCCCACCCATCCTTGCTCCTGTCCTGCTATTCTTTATCAGGACCATCAGGTATTCTATACAGGCAAAGAATCACATCTTCACAGAGATAAACAAAAGTCACATACCTTTATATTACCCAACACCAGTCACTACACAATATAAGCTGTTATGCCTTAAAAGCACATTCTAAACTGATGATTCTCTACCACCCTCTTTTATCTGATCTGCCTGAGGTTGCTGAACGGCCCCGTACACCAGTGTTCCTAACATCTTAAACACCACATTAGCAGCGAGTGATATTTCCTAAGAAAAGCTTTCTTGTTCAAAGGACAGCACATATATTTTTAACCACAATCTAATAGCTTACATAGACTATTCTAGTATCTCTACTTCCAGCATCACTGACCTGGACTCCTACTGCTATATCCTAATTACTATTACCTCTAGCCACCTTGATCCCATGAATAGCTGGAACACACTGCCTCAGTTATTCTGTTAGAACCATTGTCCCTAACAGCAGGGACTTGCTGACAACTCAAATGTCACCTTAGAACCATATTACCTACCATTTTTCCCAATGTGTGTGTGTGTGTGTGTGTGTGTGTGTGTGTGTGAGAGAGAGAGAGAGAGAGAGAGAGAGAGAGAGAGAGAGAGAGAGAGTCTTTCAAACTAAAGAAAACCACAATATTTTGCTCTCCAATTTCCAGCCACTGAAAAAAAAAAAGATTACACATGCAGTAACACGTGTTGTCCACAAGATGGCGCTCCAATGCCACTTAATTCCCTATTCACAAAATTATCCCCAAATGATCATAAGTCTATTACTTTCTCTTAAATGGTTATTTTTAAAAGTAAAAATGGATTTAAATTAAAGCATTAAATTCTACAGGTGCTACTGAACCGACTAAAGGAATACAACTCCCTCCTGAGGCTGGTCAGGAGTATTCTCCCCCAACATTCTACTGATGTAGAGTTACTTAGTTGGTCTGTCTTATTTCCATTTTTAAAGAGAGGAAAATATGACATAGTCCAGGAATAAAATTACAGAATAAAAGACTGTCTCAATAAAACAAATATAAAATCCAAAACAATAAAACAACAACAACTTGGCTTAAAATAGTCTTTTTATCTCAAAGTTAACACAAACCAGCATATTTATATGCCAGGCAATAAGTGTTATACATATTTTAATTTGCTAACCATTCTAGCAACATGATGTGATGAATATAATTTTTTCCCATGAAGTTGGATTTCATAACTTTTTCAGAACAGGGAAGACCTACTAAACACCATAAACTGCTGGGTTTTGCACTAGCAGTTCAAACCTTAACCCTAAGCAGAGTCAGTGAAAACAGAAAAGCTGTTCTGAACTCATATTAGGTCTCATTTAATTAAACAGTTTATGTATAGGTCATGCCTATTGTGTGTGTATCAGCGAATGCACACGTTTGTGCAATCCAAGTGTTCAGGTTTCAACGGACAATTTATGTCAGACATTTCTCTTTCCATCATGTGAGTTCCAAGGATCAAACTCACGTAGGCTTGGTGGCAAATGCCAGTCTTAGGTTTACCCCAGCTACAATTTGAAGATGAGAGTAAAAAAAAAAAAGGCCAGCATTTAGAAAAGAAAAACACTGGAGGAAAAAAAAAATAGAAAGCATGTTTAAACACACCTGGTGGTTCACAGCAAAGATTTTACAGTCTTACAAATAAAAAATTTAAGTACCACATCCTGTGAGCAAAATCTTTTGAGGAAAGATTTTAAAAAAAAAATCCAAAATAGTACTAAAAAGTTTCTAAGCTCATTAACTCCCTTCTCCATCTCCCCTGCCTCCAAAACTTTCAGATAGCACTTGCTTATGTCACTTGTCACCAAGGCCCAAACCCTTAAATCAAGTCCCAATGTGCTGGAAAATATTCCTCTTTCCAAGAGTTCTTGTCTTTGTAAGACAGGCTCAATCCCCTGCCTGAATGCCAATGCCTCATTCATGTGGCACCTATCTATACCAATCATTTTCAATGCCCTTTTGTTTTTGTGCTTGTGGCCATAATTGGGACCACTGACACATAATACACTTCTCAGTACACAGACCTCTGATTTATTTTGGTGATTGAAGGCTCTTAGAGTCTTCCAAGAAAAGTTATTATAAGATTATGTTTAAGAAAATGAGGAAAAAATAAAAGCCATGACTACAATTATTTGAATAGCTACTGGTAATACTGCAAACAAAACTATTAAACTTACAGTGTACTTACTATGATACAATGTTTTAACTCCACACACACACACACACACGTGAACTACAACTCTGAGGTTATTATTGCACTTCTATTACCCTCATTTTCACACAAGAAAACAGGAGCAAAGTAGTGGAGATTCAGTGACATTAAAATCATCAACCCCCGGATTCTACATGCTAGGAGGAGAAGACTGACTCCACAAAGCTGTCCTCTGACCCTCACACAGATTTCATTGCACACCCACCCACATGCCCACATATTCATACCCAATAATAATAAAAAAGTGCAAACTGCCTGTAATACCAGAGCTTAGGAGGCTGAGGAAAAAAAAAAAAAAAAAAAAAAAACCTAAATTCAAAGCTAATCTGTATTTCATAGTAATCACTCATCACAAAAAAAGGGATGGTGCCTTGCTTGACTCCATGACTCATTTATTATATACAAATTAGTGTAAAATTAGTGTAAAAATGATCACTGAATATGAGCTAAAATAATAAAACACAGGATTAAAATCTGAGATATCATTCATGGGAAACCTTACAATGTGTTTACATCTACATGAAAGAAAAAATGACTGATTAATGATAAGCTGAAAGTAAATGAGCAGCCATTTATAAATCCAGATAATGGTTGTTTTATTTTCTCAAGACAAAGTCTCTCTATATATCTGCCCCAGCTGTCCTGACCAGGCTGGCCTTGAACTCAGAGATATGCCTGCCTCTGCCTTCTGAGTGCTGGGATTAACTTTTATCTAGATGATAAAGCAAAACCAAACTAAAACCTAGTGAAAGGTCTGGGCATCTTCTCCAAAATGGTCAAGGAACCAACAAGCAATGCAAAAACGGTATGTTTTCAAATCATACCAAGATCCTACTACTAAACTCATTACTAATTGCAATTATTAAAATTGAAAAACCTGGTAACACCAAGTACAGACTCATAAAACACTGAAATAACATCAGAAATAACATCACTGGGAAAAGAGAAAAGCCTGTTACTTTACTGATGTAAAGTATGATAGATACTTCTTAATAAAATTAAAATATATTACCAAATGACTTAGTAATTGAGCTATATATCCAGGAGAATCACAAATATGTTTATTACAGAAAAGCTTGAGCATGAATGTTATAACATTGTCACTAACTCAAAAAAAAAAAAAAGAAAATGCCCCAATTAGATATTGACACATATTAAGCCATCTGTGAGATAAAATACACAAGAAAAAAAATGGAAAATTAAAACAACAACAAAAAACTATATAGCATGAATGAGGCCTGTATGCATGGAAGAAATGAAAGAAGAGACACAACAGCCACATTACTGCATGAGACTATAAATATACAGAAAAAAATTAAGAAGAATAGGAAGCTAGGCCATAGCTGTTATGGAAAGTCTTTACAGAGATGGATGTTCTTCACTTGCCATGGTGGAGATGGCTCCTGTCTGCATGCATATGCATATATATACATACTCTTGGAACATGACTTATCAATAAATTCAACTCTGAAAATGCAGTCCAAGCATTTCTGAAATAATGATTCTAAGAACAGCCTTTCATTTCATGAACATTATACAATTATGTATTTTGCATTTAAACCCTTGAAAAATGGAGAACTTAAAACATATCATTAAAGAGCAAGTAGACCAAATCTTTTTAAGGTAAATTTTCTAGCTGCCTTTCAGAATTACATAGTACCAATATGCACAAATGATATCACACCATCAAGGAGTCCAAAACTCACCTCATTTTCATACTGGATTTCTAACATGGCCCGTGAACTACCAAGGTCCTGCATCACAGACTCAGCTTGTTTTAGCAGCTCCTCTCTGTTCACAGTGCGCTAATAAAGGAAACGGATGTGAAGAAATAAGAAATAATGCTCCAGGTAGCACTTACTGCAGTGCAAAATAGATTTCATTGTCAGAAAATAACTCCTTTAAGCACATCCCTTAGGAAGGCTACAGTATTTGCACTGTTAAAACATTAACAAGTCCCTGAAACTGACCAGATTCACTACCCTCCATGACAGATTAGATTAAACAATAAAAAGCTGAGAAGACTCTCAGGTGAGCTAACCTTCCAAGACTTGGACAAGCTAAGCTGCAAAGAACACTCTCAGAGGAGAAAAGCTGCAAAGAGAAGTCAGGGAACAGAAGTTACCTGGGAGAACGAGAAACCAACTGAGCTGCCTGGAAGAGGTTTAGACCAATTGAAGAACCTGTTGAGTTGTCTGCAGCCTCCATGTTCCCAGCTTTGTCATGCATGCTGGGAAGGGCTTTGATAACTCAACCATCCTTTGAGTCATTTTTGCTTCTATAAGTAACCGCTCACCTATATTCCTGTAAGTAAACCTTATAAAACTCATCTTCATGACACTGGACTTTGGTGATATCTGTACTTAGTTCTGTTGTGGATTCCCTAACTGGCTTGAGTATATGTGTGCTGTGTCTCCCCAGGAAAAGTTTTGTCACACAAATGTTCTCCATGTATGAAAGAAAGCTAGATATAAATAACTAATATAACCTGACCCATGGCAAGTTTAGAAAATTAAGGTTAGGAAAAAGATCTTTGCTACTTTGCCAAACAGTGGTATAATTCAGGGCTCCAGCTACATGAAATAATCTTGGGACATTTAAACACTGATGATAGAGAAGGGGGTAGGAAGATGACAGAGGAGACAGGTAAGCTGGAGAACATCGAGGTTCTGCTACAAGAACAAGATGCCTCGGAATGAGAACATGATGATGATAAGGATAAAGACCCTGCCATGACTCCATCAATGAGATAAAGAAATGGCATGATACGCTGTTAAATACAACTACCTTGGTGTATATGTGTTTGTTTCTAATTACAACCCCTCCTTCTACTTTTCTTATCCCTAATGGCTCTTTGAGATAAAAAAAAAAAAAAAAAAAAAAACCTTGGAAGAGACCACAGAAAAGTCATGGAAGAAAACAAAAAGCAAACAAAAGAACAGTGGAGGTCAACCAGGCGATATTGCACATCTTAATTCTACCACTTGGGAAACAGAAGCAGGAGAGTCTCTGAGCTCAGGGGCAGCCTGGTCTACAGAGTGAGTTCCAGACAACCAGGGATACACAGAGAAATCCTGTCTGAAAACACACACACACACACACACACACACACACACACACACACACACACACACACACACACCAGTGCAGATCAAAAGGCTGGGATCTGTCTCACACACACACACATATACCAGTGCAGATCAAAAGGCTGGGATCTGTCTCACACACACACACACATATACCAGTGCAGATCAAAAGGCTGGGATCTGTCTCACATGAAATGGCATGGGCACAACTGCAAGCCAAGATTAGAAGCATGATAGATGATGAAGTCAGTAAAACTGGAGCTGACGGGGACAAATTCAAAATATATCAGGGATTCTGTTTCACTCCCTTCCAAATGGGCTGCCAGGCTAAAAGGAGTAAAACGCATCTAATACACAGAGAGTCCATTTTAAAAGAGAAGTTTTTCAATATAAAAAGGAAGAAATTAAGGTGTGTTAGTAAGATTCGTGGTAACTAAATGAAGGATGTTATTTCAGAAATAACAGAAGAAAAATAGTAACAGACAATACAGTTTCAAGAGGCTCATGGGAAAATATACTAACAGAGGTGGTTTTTTAAAAGATAGAATAATAGTGCTCAGCAATTAAGAGCGCTTGCTACTTGTCTCTCAGCCCCCACATCAGGCAGCTCAAACCTCCAGCTGAAGGGGACTCAGTATCTTTGCTTTTAGCCACAACCATAAACACACTCACAGACAGACCTGAGGATCAAGTGAAGGTTGTTACTCCACAGGCATAATCAGATGTAGTACTTTAGGTCTTGTCTTTAATTTGGAAAGCTCGGCATAAATAGATACTTATTTGTAGGAAATGCTTACCTTTTTTCTATCCAATCTAGGTGCAACTCTGCTGTCTTGCGAATCAGACTGGTTGATTTCTGGGTTGGTATCAAGCAATCTTTGCATTGCCCGGTCTCGATCAAATGCAGTTACATAAAAAAGCATTTGTCGGGTATCAAAAGGAAAGAAAAATGGGCTATAAAAGATAAAATACAAATTTACCATCTGTGTGAGAATCAAGAGACATTTAAAAAACATCAAGATTTATATTGAAAACAACTTGATATAATACACTACTGACATAACACCTTTAGTTCCAGGTCTTTGGAGGCAGAGATGAAGACGGCCAGAATATATAGAGGGACCCTGTACACACACACACACACACACACACACACACACACACACACACACACACACACAAATTCCTATATAAATATTTTTAAAAATCTTTAACCGTTTTGTTGCCATGGAGTTTTACTGTGCTGCCTAGATTGGCTATAAACACTTAGGGGAATAGTCCCTCCTAAAATTTCCCAAATGGAAGGGGCCTACAGGAGTATGCCAATACATCATCACACCTGGCTCTTGTTGAAATCACTAAATATTGAGCAATTGTATTCTATATGTCTTTCCACATGAAATCTAAAATTGTCTATCCACAACCACCTTAAACCTATTCTGAAGATTTTAGGGCATGCAAGCCTCCATGCCATGAGCTCAACATTCCATACTTCACATACAAAAGTTAATGGCTTTATTATTTCGTGATATTCATCATAGGCTTAGCATAAAAAAAAAAAATCACTGACAAGACAAGCAAGCTCCTTGTTCTCAAAGAATGAATCCTGCAGCCAAGACATTTCCTACCATGATTTTTTTTTTAAAAAATATTTATTTATTTATTATACAATATTCTGTATGCATGCCCGAAGACCAGAAGAGGGCGCCAGACCTCTTTACAGATGGCTGTGAGCCACCATGTGGTTGCTGGGAATTGAACTCAGGACCTTTGGAAGAGCAGGCAACGCTCTTAACCACTGAGCCATCTCTCCAGCCCCCTACCATGATTTTTAAGGGTTTGATTTTATTTTCCTTTTTGAGAAAAGCTCTTGAAACGTCCACCAGAATCTCTGCATTGTACAATACGGCAGCATGTAGAGATATGGTGAATCCAAGTGAAAAACTCAATTTCTAACTTGATTTTTACTAAGTAATAGGTCTAGTGTCTAGTTCAAAAACAGGCTCAGAAAAACCAAGCATCACTTTCAGGAAGGCAAAGAATTTTACTGCCCTCAGTCAAATATACTTCACTGGGTTTGTCAAGTTGTCAACAAATACTACAATATTGGGAAAGATGTGAACAAGTCAACTTCAACATCTCTATCACAAATCAAACCAAGACTTGTTAATACTTACAAAATTTATCAAAGGGACTATCTTACCAGGTTTTTCCTAGTTCAGTGAGCCATGTTGGGATGTTTCCTGTCATGATCACTAGAGGATCTTGAAGCTGCCTATTCGCTTTTGCCGTTAACTTACTGTTAATAAATTCACTAGTTGGAATAATCTCCTTGCACATCGCATTCTGTAAAATTTTTTAAAAAAAAGTTCAAATTCTAGTCATTTATTCATAAGTAGGTCAGTCTGTACAATTCACCTGTTTTTGCATGCAATATCAAATCCCTCATTGGTATTTCCCATTTCTGAAACTTCCTATACTCAAACCCCATGAAGCTGTTTCCTTCACTTGTCCTCACTGTATTAAGAGGTATCTAACTGTTTACTCAATATAAATCTTTACATGAAGAAATGAGTGCTGGCAACTTAACACGAGGGAACCTCAATTTTCTTTTGGTCATGGTATTTCATCCCAACAGTTGAAAAACTAACTAGGACAGAAATTGGTACCAGGATTGTGAGGTATTAATTACTGTGACAGATCTTGAACCTTGTTTTCTTTTGTAAAACTATGGAAGGACCTTTGTTCTTTGGATTGGAGTTATTGAAGATTCAATTCAAACCTTGGTGAGTGGTGTTGTGGGAATGTGGAAGATAAGAATGCTGGTAAATACAGAGGATGGAAACCTGGCTTGTGAAGTTCTAGGGGAAGTTTTGGGAGACAAAAACTATCATTTTCAGGACCGCTGCATATTTTGAATTAAGAACCTCTGGCTCTTGTCTGCTAGGAGAGCTCAAAGACTAAGTTGTGACTAGCAAGAGTAGCACCACTGAAGTAAAACCTTTGAGTTACTGGGACAATTGATGCTGGTCTGTTGGAGCTAAGAAATTAGCAGTGATTAAGAAGTGGTAAGTGTTTCATCAGAGTCAGCACACAGAAGCTGTGTTCCAGAGGTGACCAAAGTTTTACCTTGAGCTGGCAGCTGATCTTGGTAGTGAAAGAGCCACGCAGGTGGTACTAATTTTGAACACATAAAGGGGTCATGAAGAACAGGTAGGGTTGACACTGTGGCATGGCTCAAGTCTGTGAAGAGATCTGAGCCCAGGAGAAGTTGTTGGTGAAAGTGCAAACCAACTGCAATAGACCTCAGCATTTTGGAGATGCCAGTACCATGGGATGACCACCAAGGACAGCAGCAGTAACAAAATGGAGCTTAGAAGACAAGCAATGTGCCCGGCAAAGGGAGCCAGAGAAGTCACCCAATCCCCTTATAGGAACCGTAAGATAGTGAGTAAATGTCAGATATTGGAAATTGAGTTATTTACACTGGAGTTCAGTTTTGCTTTGTTCGGATTGTGACTGTGCCACATTTCTTCCCTCTTGAATAAAAAATGTAATTAATTTAATTTCGGTTTTTGCAGTAGCCCACAACTGAGAGACTGTGAGCTTTTAAAAGAGATTTTGTAATTTTAAAGAGAACAGATTATTTTTAAAAAAGACTGTGGGGACTTCATGTTTTATATTTTGATAATATTAACATGTTACTTTGGAGATGAATAAGAAAAAAGGGTTTGGTTTAAACAGTGATATGTTTATGTGTCAAGTTGACAGGGAATCAGTTGTGCTGGCTAGCTTTATGTCAAGTTGATTGATGTAAGCTATACTCATCTGAGAGGAAGGAGCTCAACTGAGAAAATGCATCTATAAACTGGGCCACAGGGAAGCCTGAAAGATATTTATTAACTAGTGATTGTTGTGGAGAGCACAGTTCATTAGGGGTTTGGACATCACCACACTGGTGGTCCTGGGTGCTATGAAACAGCAGGCCGAGCAAGCTACCACAAGGAACAAACCAGTCAAGTAAACAACACTCTTAAATGGCCTCTGTACCTGCTGCTGCCTCCTCCAGGTTCCTGCCTTACTTGAGTTCCTGTATGGATTTCTTTCAATGATAAACAGTGATGTGGAAATGTAAGCCAAATAAACAAACCCTTTTCCCCCTAACTTGCTTTTGGTCATAGTATTTCATCACAGCAATATAAATCCTAATTAGGACAAAATATTTGGCTATTCCCTAATAAACAAACAAACAAATAAATAAAAGACTTATTCCAAGAATATTAAGTTCAACAAATGAGTTCATTGTATACATTTAGTGAATCACTGTTTCTATTTCAACTGTAATAAAGCACTCATTTACTAAACAGAGAACTGCAAGATGACACATGATTTTCATGAAGAGACATTACTCACATCATACAAGTAATACCAGTATCGACTGATGGCGTGTAAAACTCTTAAAAGAAGGATCACATCTAAGGATGGGTCTTCAAAGGTAATATTTTCAGGTGGTGTGGGAATGAGGTAAACTTCTAAAGGATTTGCTACTGATGGGCACACTCCATCTAAATGATAGAAAGTTTCAGCTTTAATCAAAGCAACAATGGCTAAACTACAGACTCAAAGTTACCATTACCATCTGAAATTGTGTCATGTTTAACTTCTTGGCATATCAATGTTATCAGACATTTCTTCCCTTTTAACCCTGTGCACAGTAACACATAGGTACATAAAATTTCAAGTTCCCCTGAACATACATACCCAAACAACAGTAGAAAAATAACTAACCCCTTTTGCATTCCCTTCCTGTGGTGTAAAGACACCCTATGAGATTAAGGACCAATCTGTTGGTGACTAGACAAAGTCTTCAGCAGTCTTTAGTATGAATGCAATTTAACCCTTCATGAAATCATGAATTCTTAAAATATTATAAGAATGTCATGATTGATTTTCAGTTTTAATTTTATAGATACTTAATTCTAGCTTACTAGACATTAAAGTCAAAGACTTAACTAAAAGTTAAATCTACCCTATAGTGATTTATTTAATTATCCCCAAAGCTTTCTGGAGCTCTGAATCAGTTTTATTTCTAGCAGAAATGCAGAGAGGCCAGGGCCCTGCTTCTCTCGGTATGATGTCACCTTACCATGCCATAACTCATCATGCTTCTTTGCATTTCTGGGGGAAGTTTTTGTTGGAGCTGTTTGGGCTCTTCCCCTTTTGCCACCAACACAATCTTTACTATTTTCTTCATCCTCTCTCACAGGTTTGTACCTAAGGAGATATGATAGCATGAAAGTCAAATGTAGATTTTTAATGTGCAAATTATTCAGCAAAGCTAATGTTTAAGTCACAGAATTCCTAAGAGTTCTCTGGAGTCTGCCCTCTTTCTCCCTATTTGGTTTCAGAGTTACCAAGCGTTTGTTTTCCTAAAACAAAACAGTAAGTCAGTCTTCCCAGGAACACTTTACTTCGGGAAATGATTCTTTTCTGTAAGTGGCAGAAACTATAAAGGCAGCATAGGAAGCCGCATCCAAATGACACAGAATTCAGAGCTTCAAACTATAATATATAATAATATATAATAAAATATAATATAATACCACACCATTTTGACTCCATTAAAAGACCTAAACTAATCAAAAAGCAGCTTACTGCCTATAAACATGCTTTCTAGTATGGAAGTAATGTTCATTTACATCTATGCATAATATATATTTAAAAGGCTTTTTCATAGTTCAAATGCAAGATTTAGGTTCTCCCTCTAGTCACAGAATTGGACCATGAATTTAATATGAATTCTAAACCAAAGATCACATACCACCAAGAGAAGCCAGTTCAGACTTACCATATTGTATGAGTCTTTGTCCAAATACCAGCTCTTCCCAGAGGATTGCTCTCATCATCAGTAGATTCCCTTTCATCTTCAGCCTGTACACTGAACTGCCGCACTGCCTGATACACCGTCATGTTATATGGTAGTAAATGTTCTCCAATATAAAACTGTAGCCTGTGCCTTACATTTCCTGAATTTAAAAACTGAGCAGCCTGAATAAAGCAAAGAAAGGTCCATATAAGCCCAAGTACTGGCATCTATACATTAGCCAAGACATATCCTGCTGGAGAAACAAACTAAGACCTATGGTGGATGTTTGAAACTACAGATCCTCCTGAAGTCCCTATATTCTGATTATCACTTACCTAAAATGCTTTAAGACAGAAGTGATCAGAGACTAAACTTTTTGTTTCAAGAATGAGGATACTTGCATATACACAGGGATGGTATCCAAGTCTAGACAATTCATATTTTGCATGCACAGATTTGAAGACAACTGAATATTAGTACAATTAATAACTTCCATTTTTTCTACAACCTACCACATACAAGCAAATGTGGATTTTGCACATGTAATATCCAATTGATTTCAGATTTTGAATTCCCTCTGGGAAATTGGTGAATTTTTCCTTCTACATACACCATTAATTTATAAGCAGATACAATAAGAAACTTATAAATAAAAAATTTATTACATAAATACACTAAAATAAACTATTAATTACTAAAACAATTGTTCATTTCTGTGATTTTTTTTTCCAACAATGGTTGGTGAGGGGCTATTTGAACCCAGGAAATCTAAATCACAAATACAGCATGATATAACTACAATATGGTATAAAAAGTACCTACCAGAGACTCATCTATTTCCTCATCTGATCCATCATCATCACTGTCTTCATCATCTTCTCTTACTCTTCCATACCCTAAGCAACAAAACAAAACCAAGCAAACAAAAAAAAATTTAGGCCAAAAACATAGTTAATTAGGAATTTTAGGTGTCAGATAAAAGACACTGGTTATACTGATATTTTCTTTAAAAAGTAGATATTACATTCTGATCTATCAGAAAGAATTCTCATTCTTATCAGAAAGCATTCAACATACGTCTATTTACTTCTGGTAGGAACAGAGATTCCTACTGCCTAAGGTTTATCAGGAACAGCAATATACCCTTTAATGCTAATTTCATAACCATACAAGTAAAGGACATAGATGTAAAATACCTCTAACCACAAGGTATCTTTCAATAGCTTGCACCAGAGCCAGAGGATCGATCTTGACAGGTCCGCCTTTCCACTGTTTCACATTTGCACAGTCTGGGTGTCTTTGTAATTGACATTTTAACTGATGTGTGTTGAAAAACTTTAAAGCTTGTGATCCTCTGTTGAGAGAAAAGCTCAAGATAATTTGAGAAAAAAAGGTTATTCTATTATTTTCAGTCAACATATTAGTTAAACTAAAAACAGACACACAAAAATCCTTTTTTTATAGTACAAAGCATTTAGCATGGAATGAACATGATCTCTAGCCACCGTGAATTCATATGATCAATGATGTCATAAATACTGGCTTCAATGAAATGCCATGCCTACTGGATTATTCAGGTGGAATAGGAACACTTCAACTATCTGAACACACTTCTGCAGGAATTTTTCCTCTACTAAATTCTATTCAAAAAGCAAGGGAGGAAGAATCCTCTATTTTTTTGCTTCTACTTTCAATTTCACTTTAAAAAATAAAACATGAAATAACATAAAAATAAAAAAAAATCAACCTTCAAATTTACATTGCTATGTACTTTTAAATGAACGGCTACATCATTTGATAACTGTTTTCTTCCTGTTATAAGTTCTGACAAGAGTCAAATATAGTCAAACTTAAATGTGGCTAATTGTACGACTCCATGAAGCATGCAAATATTAAGCAAGCATAGTTCATATAAATGCAGACAAGTGGAAAGCCTTATGGCTTTTTTATTCTGGTCTATGTTTGAGACTCAAATAGCCACGTAGCTTTTTTGCCTACACTTTGTGGCTATTCATTTAAAAGGATGTAGCAAAGTAAACTGAAGGTTAGTTTTAAATTTTGTATTTTATTTATAAGAGAAATCTAAAGGAAAAAATATAGGATTCTACCCTCCTTATTTTTTGATTGGGATCACAGGTATGCCACCATATTTTGTGATATCCCTTTGTTTCATAAAACTATTCTAAGATAGTATAGTGCTATACTAGTGTATATTATACAGAAAACAACTTAAGCCACACTATGGAAAGCATTATGTACATTGACTACATTTTTAAAACACATAGAAACATGGATTTTAAAATAAAAATAACTTTTTCAATGAAGCTTACAGAACTGCCTAACAATTTTATCTTTCTATAACAACTTACATAGTAAAACCCATTATAGTTATATAGTTATAACCACTTATCACATAAAGTCTCAGAATAAATGTTTTGTTGCCCACATACAAAAAAATTATTTGAGACTGGGCAGTGGCGGCACATGCTTTTAATTCCAGCACTAGAGAGACAGATAGGCAGGTATCTGTGAGTTTGAGGCCAGCCCTGTCTACAAAGTGAGTTCCAGGACAGCCAGAGTTGTTACACAGAAAAACCTCATCTAGAAAATAAAAATAAATGAAAAAAAAAAAATAGTTGGAGAAGCATTACATATTAAAACTTATCAATGTACAGAAACTAAAAATGTGTTTCAAATATTGTCAATCCAGTCACTGATTTACTTATGTTAGAAATATTAGTTGTCAAAATACACGGTGCGAGCTAAAAGTAGTGTCACACGCCTAATCCCAGCACTTGGGAGACAGAGACAGGTAGATCTCTGAATTTCAGTCTAGCCTGGTATATGGAGTTCTAGGACAGGCCAGACTACACAGCAAACTCCTGTCTTTAAAAAAACAAAACAAAACAAAACAAAACAACAAAAACATGATCTTACCAAGAGCTTACCAAACCTCTCACCATGGTTTCCTTCAACAATTCTAGTAGAAACTGGCCATACCCAGGCAATGGTCCTTACCTGCCTCCAGCCCCATTTCCGCTAGGGAAATCGTGCACTTTAACTGGAAATTGCTCCATTTGGCTGAGGCAGTTGTTCATCTTATGAACTAGTGCCAACAAAGGCGCATGGCCTACTGGTTCTACTCTTCCAATGGGCTCTTCTCCAGGAAGCTAGAGTTACAAATAAACAAACATTAAACAAACCTTTTGAAAAGTCAACACTCCATAGCAAAGATATTTTTAAATAATTTATTTATATATTAGATGTATATGAATATTTTGCCTTTATGTATTCTTGGGTGTCACATGCATGCCTGCCTGGTACCCTAGGAGTTCATAAAATCCTCGGAAACTGGAGTTACAGATGGTCATGAGCCACCATGTGGGTGCTTGGAAGTGAACCTGGGTTCTCTGGAAGAGCAGCCAGTGTTCTTAAGCACTGAGCTATCTCCCCAGCCCCTAGCAAAAACATTTTAATAAGAAGTTTCACAAATGGAGATTTTTATCTATCAATTTTCTTTCTTTTATAATAGATTTCATTAGGACAATGTTTCCAAGTAAGTTAATTAGTTCTTATTTATTTTATGTGCATTGATTAGTGTTTTGCCTGTCTGTATGTATGTCTCTGTAAGGGCACTGGATCCCTGGAACTGGAGTTACAGACAGCAGTTCTAAGCTGCCATGTGGGTGCTGGGAATTGAACCTGAGTCCTTTGGGAAAAGTGGCAGTGGTTTTAACCACTGAGTCATCTCTTCAGCCCCCATATACATAATCTTAAGCAAGATATAAAACCCCTGGGATATCCCACACTTGCACCCACATGCATGTGAAAATAAGATTTAAAATAACACACAACAAAACTAGTATCTAACAATACCACTTCTGACTTTAGACAGTGTTCCAAAAATGCCTATGAACACTTAAAAGGGGCATGGTTAAGCAAGTAAACAGTAATCATTAAGCTCATCATAACCGCCCCCCCTCCCCAAAAAGGCCACTTCCTGAGTTATGACTCTAAAGCAGTTGTAACAGGAGGTCTAATCGAGACTATGTGAGAGTTGTTAGCTCTGTTCTCACCTAAGGGCAAAGAGAAAAGGTGGGAACAAGCCTACAGACCCAGACCCTGTCCTTGTAACCTATAATATAAAGATTGTTGTTAAGCATCTTTTATGGAAAAAACAATAACCTCAACAAATGGAACAAATAGTAATAAATATTAAAATGTAAAACTACTACTAATGATTTACCTTGTGGGAGGGAGGGGGGAAAATACTTGACAAAGTTGATGTGGGCTTCAGGTCACTAGTGGTTGGAAGAATGGCTTTTTGTTTTATTTTTCTACCCAGACTGGTCTAAAACTCACATAACTGAGGATGATCTGTCCTGCCTTGCCCTCCAAGTGTTGGGATCTCAATCATAGGCTTCATGTCTGGTTGCATTTTACTATCTATTTTATGACACATAAAAATTTAAGGAAGTCAGGCATGGTAACTCATACCTTTAACACCAGCACCAAGGAGGCAGAGGCAATCAGATCTCTGAATTCCAGGCCAGGCTCATCTATAATAAAACCTTGTCAACAAATACATGTCAAAGGAATCTAACTGAATAGGCAACACACAACATACTCTTATTGGGACACAAATGTACGCACTTGCTAGCACCAATTCTATTAAGATGTGACCGTTATTAACTTACTGGAGAAGAAAAAAATACATGTAGGAATCGCTTTAATCGGATCTCTCGGCTGACAGCATCCTTTTCACTTTTAGATGTCAAGTAGAACAACAGTTGTTTCACAAATCCACTATGTTGGATTTCAAATGATGAAACATCTGATTCGGAGACTATGCTACGGATTTCTACAAGGCACTCAGCTCCACCGTCCACCTGAAACAGTGAAGAGAATTCTATACTTATTTAAACAGTACAATTCACATTTACATGGGCCAGCTATGAACCATATGAGCTGTAATACAACCTTCCAGGTAAGATAAGCCCACTGGAGCAACGTGGTTCAAACATTACTTGGCAAATTCTTTCCTTAAGATTTGAAGCCCACTGCACATGAAGGAATTCATTTCAGTGGAGGTCAAAAGCCCTCCTGTTGTTTTGCTAAATGGCCAGAGTCAAAACATCTTATAAATAATCAGATTAGTGTTGGTCCCAGTCTTGGTCAGAGAACGGTTTGCAACAGATAATAATATTTAGTCATAACTGGTAAAAGTGCTGAGAAAAATTTCTTTTAACCATTTATCCCAAAGCAGAACATCTATTATCAATTCTTACAAGGCTCAGGGAACACTACAGAAAAAGATTTCATGATGAAGAACAGGTATTCCATTTAACTAATGCATTTTCTATGTAGGGATTAAAAAATAATATAATAATACAAACTCAAAATAAAGAGGCTATCAGAAAAAAATTGCGTCATTAAGTGAATGGATCATGTTCAACAAAATATGACATGCTATCTCTAACTATGCAGAATACATTTAACAACAAAAATAAACACAGAAGTAGAACTACTTGAGAACCAGAAGAGAGAGGGACAAGAGAGGGTATTGGGAGGGAAATTTGAATACAATCAAAGTACATAATATACATGTATAAATGTCATAGTGAAGATCATAACTTTGTATAATTAATTAATAACTTTTTCAAATTAGAATGTTCATTTTGAAAGCCAGATTAAAATGATGAAATGTGATGTGGTTTTAGTTAGTAAACTTAAAATATTTATAAAATAGCTTAGAAAACAAGAATGGAAATTAGAAAAGGTACATTTACAAAGAGTCAATGAAATGGTCATGACAAAGTCTCACGCCTTTCCAAGTAAATGCTATGAGTCTGCAGGTGGGGACAGTTATGTGGATTTAGAAAGGACATTCTTCAGAAACCGTCTGAAATTTTGTCATTTGTCAAGAACTAGAGAGCACAAAGAATGAAAAGTAATGGCAAGTCAAGGGACACGGAGCAAAAGAAACCAATGTTTCTACAAATCCCACGAAATCATCCACCGGCAAACAAGATGCACTGCACAATACCTGGAGGTTGAGTTGTTCAGTTGCAGCACAAAGTCTCTGAAGTACATTCAAGGCAGGGTTGCTTCCATCCATATTCTCTGAACTAAAGTAACGCTCAACAAATTTATGCGCCTGCTCCTTAATCCAACCTTTAATTTTTTCTCTACAAGGAGGTAAAAGGAGATATTAATGTTTCCATGTAGGTAAAAAAATCTAAACTGAAAGTCAGATTAGGGACCTGTAAGATATTTCAGCAGGTTAAGGTGGCTGCCAAAATGACCTGAGTTCAATACCCAGGACGGTGGAGAAAACCAACTTCTGCAAGTTGTTTACTGACTTCCTCAAGTACTTAGATACACACACACACACACACACACACACACACACACACATAGACATAAAGGAAATAAAATTACAGCTTTTATGAAAAACAACTAAGAGCTCAATACCCGAATACAAATTTACAAAATAATTGACAAAAGGAAAAAATATATCTACAGTGTTCATCACTGTTCCCTAAAGAGGTGAGGTGAAGATAAGGTATACCAGACGGATGTGACCAGGCTGTTGAAATTATAAACTTTAAAAATCATTTGCTTATTATTCTTCATAACTAATTTAGAGAATCAGCAGCCAACTCAATCAAATTAAAAGTTATCTTTAAAATAAAGTATTACTGGGAAAATGTCTTATTTATAGAGGAAGTAGTCTACACAGGTACTCTACATCAAGTGCCTTCCCAAGAAAGGCATTGCCATATGACCCACACGCTGGAAAGAAATTAGTATCTGACATGGAGCCAAGTACGTTTTTAAAAAGCAGGTGGTCTCCCCTACAAATCTTCAAATTCCATTAAGTAGGTAGAAAAATTTCATTAAAATGTATAAACAGAAAATGCAAGCATAATTCAATAAAAGGTTTCACATAGAAAAAAACTAACCAGAACTGTCAAGTAGATATATTATATATATTTTTATATGCAGGGGATAGGGCTGAAACCATAGGCAAGTCCTGAGCTACATACATACATCCTCCTAAGAATCTACCTAATCTGAGTTGAGAATAAATTGAACCAAGCCCACGTATCATCTCCATGTAATGAATGTGCTCAATACACTCATACTGAGACCTTTCAGATGAAGAACTCCCACCCCCAATCCCAGCACAAACTTTACCTATTATTGGATATGGTGTCTTTTGAGGCTGCCCTGGCAAGACCACTAACTCCTGCAGTTCGTGCTGGCTCAATGTTGTTGCTGTTGGACTGTGCACTTAATCTTCCCCACGTTTTTGGATTCAAGCTTGCCAGGAAGGAAGATTTAGGTGACTGAGTAGTGGTAGGGCTTTTAGCTATAAAGAGAAAAGAATTACATTCAAATTATTTCAATAAAACTGAGAAAAAAAAATCAACAAACCATTCACAGACATAATATAGGAATTAAGAGCACCAAATCATGAGCAAGCTTATCACCTTCCCCTCCATTTACCTATTAATTCAACAAAGGACTCACCTTGATTGTCTACTTTGTCATCGTCTCTTGGAGGTGAATACTTTGGCCTTCTTGGCCCTCGTTTTGGCAGTCGTTTTCTCTTGAGAACATCACTTAATCGACTGTTGTACAGAAAAACAATGGATGAGGTTAGCAATTACCACGGAAGAACCCAGCTAAGATACTAGAGGCAGTGACACGAATAAAAATGTCACAACAATTTTCATTGAGTGATTTTAATATGGAATCTGCAACAGTCATACTCGAAAGGATGTATGGAGACAGAAAACTGCTGCTAAAAAATAAAAACTAAAGGCTTAATTTTCTTCATGTGCAATTTTGTAAAATGTAATGTATTTAAATAAAAATACAAAGAATGATTGACAAAAAAAATAAAACCAAACGAGTATATTTCTTCCCTAACCTAACTTGCAACACATGGGGCTTAATGTTCATACTAACTACTTACAGTATTATATCCAAAAGGTATAACGAAGGCAATAACAACATAATGATTTCCATACCTGTTTTTAAACTATATAAGTCTATTAAGTGATAATGTGAACAACCTATTTGGAACTAGAACCAATATTAATTGAACTGTCTACAGCATTTCTTTTATCACGTTTTGTTTGATTGTTGAGACAGCATTTCCACATTACCTTAGGTTGGACCTCAAATCCATGATTCTCTTCCCTCACCCTTTGGCTCTGAGAGTAGGGAGGGCTTCACTTCATCTGCCCCAAGACTTTATTCTAAACAACACTACACCACACCTTGCAACCTCCTGCTCTTGACATTAAAAATTATTTCTGAAATTATTTAATAACAAAAATACAAAAGAATGAGCAGATAAATGAACATTCTAGGGGACAGCAAAATAGCTAAATAAGTAAAGGACTTGCCATCAAGCCAGACAACCTGAATATGATAGAACAAATGAACCAACTGGTGCAAATTGTCCTCTGACTTCCAACACTGGCACCAGGGAACACAAACACACAAATAAATATGCTTTTAAAAATTAAGCAAATTGTTCCAGCTGTGTTGCTCTATAGCTCAAATAACATTTAAATAATTTAAATGAAGACTCCCAGAGTCTGGTAATTCTATGAAATAGGTATACTTAATATATTCAAATACACAACCAAGAAAAATTTTCAGGAAGAAATATGCTATAACAACTTGTAAATGAAAAATGAACATTTTACTTGGAGGACTGAAGACATGGTTCAACAGTTAAAAGCATCTGTTTCTCTCCAGGAATTAGGGTCTGTTTCCAGCACCTACATGGAGAATCATAACCTTATTTCTGGGCATCTGATGCTCTCTTTTAGCCTCTGAAGGTACCTACACATTTATGGTGTGCAAACATATACTAAGGTGCACATACATAACAAAAACAATGAGGACTGTGTTCTACACAGTGAATTCTTGATGAGAGAGTCAGTGCTACATACCAAGATTTAAAAACTTGGAACAAGGAACAAATTAAGATAAAATATTTTAAAAGAAAGGCTTTCTTTGGAATAATAAACTATTAGATTGCATAATAAACAACTACTTCCTTATTGAAACTGGCTTAGAAATATTATATTATTATCAAACTATTATAAGAAGTTGTTAATTAATATAATATTAGGAGATTATTTTAGTTCCAGGACACAAAGAAACCCTATCTCCATCACCCCCATGCAAAAGAAAGATTACATCTGTCTGCGTTATCTCACAGAATCCTGTGATGGAGCAGTTAAAGATCTCTCAGGCATCAAGTAAACATGTTATAGTAAAGCCCTGTATTGATATACGGTTACTGAAAGACCAAAGCACAGAAGAAGTGCTGAGATGGAGGAACAGTAAGGTAGAAGGGCAAATGGGAGAAAAGCACAACAGCAGCACAGGTGGGAAGGTACAAAGTCCAACAGGTTCTTTAAGGTATACAAGATTTAAATTTAGGATCGCAGTGACAATATTTTACCAGATATATATTACAGGAGCTAGCTCTGATTTCCTAGCAGCCACATGAGTTCAATTCCCAGCACCTACAAGGCAACTCACTACCATCTTGTAAGTCTAGTCCCAGAAGGTTGGGTGGTGTCTTATTTTGGCCTGCAAGGGAACTGCATGAACACGATACAGAACCATCCATGTAGGCAAAAACACCTCTAAATATGTTAATAAAAATGATAAAAGTTTTCGTGAAAAAAATTTCTCAAGTAGGAGTCTAGAACATCAACGCAGATAAAGGCAAAGTACTTTAAAATTTCACAACAAAACTCACCCTTGAGGGCTCAGGTCCAGTGAATCATCTCTGCTATGCTGCAAGCTGGGTGACCCAAGATCAGCAGAAGCATTGGTTGCAGCCGTGGCTGTCCCACTGCTGGCTGGTGTTGTGGACCCCAGGGATCCTGAACCATTTGTACACGCCTTTGGTGGACTTGTCAACAAAGACTCAGATTCTGCTAAATGCTTTACTTGATGCATGACACCTTCAAACACAACAAAAAGAGAGGTCAGTTTAATCAGGAGTTAAGAATAACCCCCACCACTATGAAATCCCTAAATGTTAAGCCTAATAAGCTAGAAATAAAGCCAGGAAAAGAAGTTTCCATATCAACTCCAATCAGAAGGAGTAAAATTCAGGGGCTGGAGAGATAGCTCAGAGGTTCAGAGGCTCCTCTTCCAGAGGTCCTGGGTTCAATTTCTAGGTCAAACATGGTGGCTCACAACCATCTAATAATGAGATCTGGTACCCTCTTCTGGCATGCAGGCATATATGCAGAAAGAACACTATTTACTTATATAATAAATAAATCTTTGAAAAATAAGTAAAATGCAAAGGTATTTTTATTGAATGTATTCTAATCTTCAAACCAAAAATCATATAAAACAGTTATACAAAAAGTAGAAAATATCCACTTTATAAACAATAGTAAATCTAAGAAACACAGCACACATCACAGTATGATAACTGCAAAGGGAAGAGACATAAGTAGTCAATTAGCTTCAAAGGTTATGAGGGAAACACTGTAAAAATACTGCTATCTATAAAAGGGCTACTGGTGACCACACTGTCAGAGAAAGGAGAGCTGAAGAGTTCCTATTGTGATAGGAGATACACAGTCACAGATATCTAAGAAAGCCTGTGTCAAATAAATAAAATTCTGTGGATGAAATTATATATGATTGCACAGACATTTTTCAGGGGTCCTAATCTTTCATTAGGTTCTTGTTGCTTTATGCTGTTTAGGATTTTTTTGTTTGCTGTTGTTTGTTGGGATCCTAGAATTTTCTATACAGACCAGGCTGGCCTCAAACTAACAGATATTCACCCATCTCTGTCTCCCGAGGACTGGGATTATAGATGGGCACTACCATACCTGGCTTCCTTTAGATTCTTTAAGAAAAGAAGGGGGGAGGGGCGGATGATTTATACTTCAGGCACTTGTTATAAAAATATGTTTTAGGCTAGACTATGCTAGATACTGAGTACATAATTATCAGGCAGGACAAAAGCAAAAATGACTAGGAATGATACATTTCTTAAGGATGCCAGTAAGTAATGATGAACTCATAAAACAATACAGCAAGCTAGTATACACTGCAGAAGAACCAAGCTCAATCTGGAAGGAAAATAAGACCTTCAGGAAGAGATTAATGCTTATTCTGGTGTTTTATGAGTAGCATGACCTAGCCATGCACAATTAACACCATTATGTATGCACCACAAATATTTGAGGTTAGAAAACAGAATATGATGGTACAGCAGATTCTCTAAGCTTAGCAAAAATCACTTGGCATGGGATAGAGATGAAAGTGGGCAAGTGGATCTCATTTACTTCTAAACCAAAAAATTAGATGTGTACCCGCACACCTACCTGACTTGTTACAGACAGGTAATGGAAAAACAATGCTTTATCTTTAACATCTTTAACATCAATACCTACTGCTGTTTTTGTTCTGTTTTTTGTTTGTTTTCTTTTTCTTTTTGAGTATGTTGTTAGTTGAACAAAGCTAGTTACCTGGAGATAATGGTGTCATGCTATGTTAGCTCTTGGGGCTGGAAGTCAAGAGATCTACCCCTCTTTTGGATTTAAGGTATACACCACTTTACAAAGACAACTTTAAATGGTTAAATCTTCTTCCTCCTTTGTTCCTTTTTCTATATTGGCCTATTTATAATATTTTAAAACACGGAAAAGACTAAAACCCCAATATAAGAAGTGTTGACTCTAACGAGGCAAGCAGACCAGGCCTTCTTGCTCAGCCATCATTGGAAGCTTCCCCTAGCCTGGTGGTGGCACACACCTTTAAACCAGCACCCAGGAGAGGGAGGCAGGCAGATTTCTGAGTCTGAAAAAGCCAGACTGGTCTATAGAGTGAGTTCCAGGAGAGTCAGGGCTACACAGAGAAACTCTGTCTCAAAACAAAACACAAAAAAACCAAACAACAACAAAAAAAACCCCACCAACACCAACATTACCAACAACAAAAAAGTTTCCTCCTGCAGCAATTGGTAACAAAAAACAGAAATCCACAGCCAGATAAAGGGACACTGGAACACTAAGCCTGGATGAAATGTCTCCATCAAAATCTTCCCCCTCAGGACTTAAGGAACCATGTGAATGGTGATGGAAATGATTTAAAAACCAGAGGGAATGGAGAACATAAGGGAATTAAGGCTCTCTAAACAATATATATAACTCAGAGACTGGGGCAGCAGGCACAGGTCAGCATGGGTCTGCACCACATGGAGTCATAGAGCTGAAGAAGTGGAAACAAGCTGCCACCCCTAACCCTCTAATCCAGAAGCTATCCAACTGATAACCACCTGCAAATGAAAATTTGGTATTCTCCAAGGGAGTCTCACTCAGGAAATAAACTCCTAAGGATATGCTGCTGGTCCATTTATGGTCAGCATAAATGAAGTTCCTCATCTCAATGTCACATCAAGGTTTTTCCTTTTTCCCCTTTTACTCCTTCCCTTTTTTTTTTTTTTTTCCTATTTACTCTTGTTTTGTACATTTTCCTTCTCTCTCTTAACACTAGAGATCCTTTGAGTATATATTATGGCTTTCACTTCAGGGTTTTTATGGGATTATGGGATTCTTAAATTATGAACAGTGGGTCTCTACACATGTATCTGTTTCTTGTGACTCTTGTTGGGCTTGTTTCTACAGTTTGTTTTGTCTTCTGATGTATTAGTTTTTCCTTATCTTATTTCATTTTATTTAATTGTTATTCCTTAGAAGCTTGTTTGCTTTCAAATGAGAGACAGAAAGAGCATGGATCCTGACCGGGAGCGGAGAGAAACTGGGAAGGGAAACAGTAATTAGGATATATTATGTGAGGGGGAAAATCTATTTCCATTAAAGGGAAAACAGAAAAGGTGATCAAGAGCTGGAGAGATGGCTCAGTTGTTAAGAGTACTAGCTGCTTTTGCAGAAGACCTGAGTTCAATTCCCAGCATCCATATGACAGCCCACAACTATCTGTTAAATCCAGTTACAGAGAATCTGATGCCCTGTTATTCTACCAGTCATGTACACTCTCAACCCAATAAAAGATAAAGCAAATGCTGAACTGTTTTGATCTACTGCTATGATGCGCTGCAACCTTATTCAAGGAATTAGTATAGACTGCTGACATAAAAGTCTGACTGCTGCCAAACTTGAGCACATATTGGGGGTAGGAAGATCACTGAGAATGACTACAGTCATCAGTGACAGTGAATTTCAAGCTTCATGTACTTAGCACAATAAACATATTACACATGAAACACTCTATGCTTGAGTTCTTAAACACATAATCTTTCATATGAACAACTAATACTTTCCTTGTAGACACTGAACACATCACATCAAGCTCTAGACTCATCAACTTATTATCAAAAATGGCAATGAAATTAAAGGTGGTGGCGGCGCATGTCTTTAATTCCAGCACTCAGGAGGCAAAGGTAGGCAGATCTCTGAGTTAAAGGCCACCTGGTCTACACAGACCAAGTTCCAGGGCTTCCATGACTACACAGCGGAAAAAAAAAAGGGGGGGGGGGGGAGCATTACCTTCTCTTCTGAAGTAAACACTGAAAATATCAGGTAACTTTTGCATTAAGATTTCTGCCATCTGAAGTGCTCCAACTACTATCTTCAGATCTTGACTTGATAGCATGGAAGCAATGTGACTAAAAAATAAAACATTTGTGTATGAACAATCTGAAGTTCTTTGTTTCTGGTCATACTACTTAAAATTTAAGAACAAAATTCCATTCTATTATAACAATTGTAATTTTTATTAAACTCAGTTAGATTTTAAATTATATTATAATATAATTCAAGACGTTCCAAACAAACTTTACTTCATTTTTTTTCTGTACCATGATTTGGAAATTTCTAAAATTGCTTCAGATTTGAATTTCTAAAACATTTTTAGCATTTTCATGAACACACCTTGAAACAGCATGATTTTTCAGAACATCCTTCAGAAGTTCAGCATCAGCAAAATAAATTATCCTAAGAATTGCTCTAAGGCACTTATGTCTGACTGCAGGTCCTGCTGAGGAGCTATACACTTCATAGAGAACACCAAATAAGGTCTTAATGAAAGACTTAGCCAGTTCCGGATCTTCTTTCATTAGCTGTGCTCGAGCATCATCCTTCTTTAACTCTGAATATCCACCTGATGTTTAAAAAAAAAAAAAAAAAGTCAATTCCTGAAGTGGCTGACTACTATAGAAACACAGCAAAAACCAAGTATTCAGCCAAGCAACTCTGTGAAATACTAGGGTAGCCTTTTTCATTATAGAACAAACTAACTTTTCTGAGCATTAAGAGACTACTGTACTGACTATTCTGACCAGTTAAAGTATCACTGTACTAAGTATGCTTCTTTGCACTAAAACATAGTCTAAGAAGGACTAGGAAAATTTCAATACTAACCTACTAAAATACAGGTTGAAATAAATACAGGACAGTATATAGCAACAAAGTTATTATGCAGATAAAAGTTATCAAAAAAAAACTGGAAAATAAGGTGACTCTGCTATTTTGTTCACAAAGAATATGTATAAAGGAGAATGAAACTGATGAAGACGATGAACAACAGTTTGTCCAATTATGGTTACACATCTTGTCCTTTGCCTATAAAGTACATTTGTTTATGTCTTATAATATGATATCTTTGAGGCTACTATAGTATTAAAAGGGGCAAAGACTATATAACCTCTCAAGTTTCCAACATTTACTACCCAGACCTTTTCTGATGGAGTGTTGTAGGGTCAGATCAAGTGAACCTGCATTCTAACCGGCACCCTATCACTTAGGAAAAAAAAATTGTGGAAAAGACATAGCACATGTAGCAATACTGACTTATTCATAATAACTGAGGCACGGGTTTTAATTAAATATATCACCATTATTCAACAATCTTACCTCCCTCCAAGGATACTCAATGAAACCATAACTATGCAAAAAGAAAATATTACGCCTGGAGTCTTAGACTTCAGGAAAGAGGGAGGGAGGGTAAAGGTGCTTAATAAGGCCAAAGACTAGAACCTACATGGCAGAAGAGAAATAGCTCCTTCGAGTTACTCTCTGACTTCTACATGAATGTTATTGTATGCCCACATAACATACTCAAAATCAATGTGAAATAAATAAATCCCAACAGTGCACCTCTACTTAACTCAAAAGGATACTTACTAGTGTTAGTATTGGCTAAGGGGTTAGGTTTTCTCTGAATGGCACGTGCTGTTCCCGTGTCCTCATTGATTTGCTGCATAGAATTAAAATCAATAGTATAAACTCGTCCCAGAGTGGACAAGCTTATCTCATCCTCACCGACCTGATGGGCTGCCTGAGAGCAAAGAGAGAGAAACCTTCAATATAAACATGTAGAAATTCATTAACTTAAGCACAGCAGGGACCCGCTATACATGCTACTTTACATATCTATTTTATGTGGCTAGTAAACTGACAGAAAGTGGAAATTTTAGTACTGCTGACAAAACACATTGGTTTAACAAATCATTTTAAATTAAACCAAACCGTGAGTTCTGAGGCAGAAGTCAGATAAAATGATATACCAAGTGACATAGCATAATTGACATGAAGACACCATTTGTATTTCAAAAGAAATTGTATTGTGAAGTAGCTTTTACATACGTACTTACAACTCTTAATGGTAAGACAGAAAACATTTTTTACCGAATCAGTTTCTACTAACCTAAAATGTTCCTTTAAGCCAAGTACCGTGTAAAACTGTCTTTAGGTAAGTAAAATACCTCACATTTACATGCTGTTCTAAGACTGTAAGGAGCACAACTAAAACTTAAGATTAATAATCATGATGCAAACACTACACAGAAGAGACTATTATTTAACTTCAGGCACCTTAGAGAAGATGCAAAATATGCTACATATGACAGTTGTGCATATGGAATCCCAGCACTGAGGAGGTTTCCAGGGTCAAAGACAGCTTAGACTAAATAGTAATAACCTATCACTTTAAAAACGAATAAACAAACTACTCTTAATACAAAGATCAGTCTGAGCTGAGACTCCTAGACAGACTTGAGTAACTATCTGGAAATAGAGAATAAACTAACAATAAAGATGTGATTATCAGGAGTATGCTAAAAAGAAAAGCACTTAAAGTTAGAAATTAAGAACACTAGCAGTTGTAATATAAAGGACCAGTCAACAATTAACTCATAAAAGCACAAGTTGGTTCTGAATTCTGAGTTCTTTTATAAGGACTACAGACTTTAGAAACTGATTGGAGGAACATATCTAGAAACTACAGCTTTATAAGAGGTATAAAGATGGTTGCAATTCAAAAGCTGTATTAAATTTAGAAGAATTATGTTTAAGTATGAAAAATGCTACAGAAAATGTATAGCCTCTCGAGTGCTGAAACACTTTTCTACCTCAAGTCTTTTTGTCATCTGAGAAATTTAAGATTATTCCAGGAATTGCAAACATCAGATGAACATAAATCACACAGAAACTGTCATTAACATTTTAGTATATTCCTACAACATATTATTCATTTTCTTTTCTTATACGAAGTAACAAAAAGTTCCATCATTTTGAGCACTGCTTTCACATTTATGTCATTAAATCTATTGCACAAATACTGAATTACATACTAGTCTATTTATCACAGTTTTCATGTTCACCCTGAGGCAGGTATTTAACTTGTTTTCCCGTTTTTTCCCCATTAAGTATAAAAAGCACACACTGGGAGATTTCTTCTGGGTTGAAATAATAGACCTGCTTTGAGACATAGTCTGACCCTCCAGTGTTTCCTTTTGGAAACAAAACTATGGGATAAAGAACTTAGATTACTTGCTCCAAGCCAAGCAGGTAGTTAGCAGCAGAAGCAGGACTAGAACATCATGTTTTCTGACCTCAACAGAATGAGGACCTTCTTTCTCAGGAGACAAAATGAGAGAATCTTAAGTTAATTCAAAACTGAGCACACTAAACACACAACCACCTCCCCATTCCATCCCTACACCCACTGTCCACAAAAATAGGCATATTTAAATGGTACAATGAAACTACTACCTCAATGATCCGGCTGTCAATCCTGTTATAGGGATGCCAGAGGCCTCGGTCATCCCGCCACTGCCAAATTGCACCATCTGTATTCTGTGCATTTCCCTTCTTTAGCATTGTATCAACTGCAAAAATGCCTTCTTTTGGTAAACATGGCATAAGTTCACTGGAAATAAAAGGTGTAATTATTTTAATAAGTAACTTTCTGTGCCAACTATAGGTGTTAAGACTCTCAAGGAAAATAACCCCATTTTTACCAAATCAGAGAGGTCAGTTCATACAGTTCTTGAGGACTTCGTGGAACGAGATCAATCTGCTCTTGACAACTTCCATTGGAGGCACCACACAGAAGGAAGTGAAGTGTTTCTGCAATGTCTGTTAAGCCAACAACACATAACATAAGCCTATTAAACTAGATGTAGTAGTTTATTTAAAAGACAATCATTCCCTAGAGTAGGGCAAAAATTAAAATTATTTACTCACAGAGGATCTGAATACGGAAACTGCAAAAATATAAACCAATTATATGTGTAAAAAGAACAGCAGAAGAAAAGTTTGTGGCTTTTAACCATGTCTTCCTGTGGACTTCCATCCTGAGTACATATCCTTCAGCTTACCCAAAATACCACCATATTGGATCCTTTTGCTACTGTAAGAAGCACAACACTTTCTATCAACAGGCTGTCACTCAGACTCATACTTACCACCTTCCTTTTAAATATACCGGAAGCACGTGTTCTATAGGGTAAACACCTGGAGCTCACGTTTCCTGCCTTACATTATACTTACATGTTAACTTAATACAAACATCATTAAACTATATCAGTTTTCCACTCCCAGAAAACATCAGTATCTGGAGAATTTATGATAATCACTCAAGTGCAAAGGTTTAGTCACTCTAACAGCTAAAATCTAAGAAAAGCTATGTCTTTGTTAGTTGTACTATGTTTCTAAAAATATTGTCTATATGTAAATATGCATAAATACAGCTATGACTTTTATTAATCTTGAAAAGGTATAGTTTTGCCAACTTTTTCGAGTAATATTAGTACACTGTGTAAGGTTTTACAAGGATGCTTTAATGGGCATGAGGACGGAATTCAAAGACAGACCGCTTCCTAGACCTACAGGATGCTTTAATCTTCATTCTACAGAACCACAAAAGGACCTTGAAATTGTGCTATATATTTTTTATAAAGATATCAGATAAGTGATCAGAAAAGTAGTTAAGATAACCCCTTGAAAAAGAGGTAAACGTGCCCACAATTACTTTTTATCACTATAGAAGGAAACGGTCTAATGTGGTCCATATGAGATAAAGGAAATGTCACAATATGACATCAAAGGAAAAGTATCCAGTGTGTTCAAAGAAAGCACTTCCCAAACTGGTATTTAAAGCCGGACTACTGTCCCTCACAGTAACTAGTGAGAAGCTGCTCTCTAACTGTTCAAAGAGGCCCTAGAGACTTCAGAGTAAGTCACAAAGCTACTTGTGAAGAAGTTAAACTTTTCTCCATTTCACTGTGGAAACAAATCACAGGGGAAACAATAATCTGTCCAACTATACACCTCAATCACACTGTCTTTTTGTCAAGGTCTATCATCAATGCATCAGTTCACAAGAAATGCAATGAAAAGTGAAACAAGGTTTATCCAAGACAAAATATTATACAGTCTGAAATGATAGGGCCAAAAGCTGTATTTTAAGTAAAAGGCAAAACTGACCCTCAAGATTGAACCTTGAAATTTAAAATTCCAAGTATAAAATTATTAATCGTGATTGGAGTTGTTCCAATAGTTAACACTATAACAAAGAATCAAGATACAGATTTTTTTCTGAAACCATACCACGTTCTGACATTTACTTACGAGACAAGGCCTAAGAAAGAGGGATCAATTTGTCACTGGTTAAGAAACACAAAATTAGTTAATTTTGTAAAAACTGGAGATACTGATCAGTAAAAATAAGGTCCAGCTTTCTGAGAGAAGAAAGCACTCGACACTCAGATAATTAACTGGAAATATCAAACAAGGGCTGAAAGAATTGAGTTATTGTTAAAAGTAATATAAAAGTTAGAAAACTAAAACCAGATCATTAGTAATTAGCGTAATATGAACATCAATGATCTTGAGTCATTCCCAAAGGTGAGGTTTAAGAATATAACATTAGGGGGCTGGAGAGATGGCTCAGAGGTTAAGAGCATTGCCTGCTCTTCCAAAGGTCCTGAGTTCAATTCCCAGCAACCACATGGTGGCTCACAACCATCTGTAATGAGGTCTGGTGCCCTCTCCTGGCCTGCAGGCATACACACAGACAGAACATTGTATACATAATAAATAAATAAATATTTAAAAAAAAAAAAAGAATATAACATTAAAATCTCATGATCAAGTCAAGTGTACCAGCGTACGCTTTTTAATCTCAGCACCAGAGAGGCAGGAGGGATCTAGAAGTTTAAGGCCAGTCCAGTCTACATAGCAAGCTCTAGGTTAACCAGGGCTACATAGAAAAACACTCTCTCAAAAAAACCAGAAAAGATCTTCAGCACTACTGGATATCAAACACCCAGACTTCGTATAAGTCAGGTAAGCCTCGATCACTGAGCTTACTTTCCTATCCCACCATTTTTCTTCTTCAATAGCCAATGTTATTTATGGTTTCTTACTTTTGTGACTTAGGTTGACTTGTTAGTGAAGAGACACTTTTATGGCTTAAAATACCAATAATAAAACAGCACTTACTTTGTTTCATAAGCTGAACAGCTAGTGTTGGGCAGTTGGAACACATCAGAGAAAACATGCGAACCACCATTATAAACATCCCAGAACTTAAAACTGGTGGAGTCACTACCAACAGTTGTTGAACATTTGTTAGGAGATCTTTGGAAGCAACCTGCTGCAGTAAATTCTTCATGAACACAAGAAGAGAAATTATTATGCTGTCGTTTAGCAATTCTACAATTTAAAAAAATATACTACCAAGATGATACTGACCTCCTCGTGTTGAAAGTTGTCCACTAGGCGTGCAAAACAAAGGCAAGTGCTTTCTACTGACTTTTTGTCCTATTTTTCACAAAGGAAAATAAAGTTTATTAATATAAAATGTTAGCACCACCAGTCACTTAGTTCTTTCTTTGCCCCAAATCTAGGTAACCTCTTTATCAGATATAAGCTTTGAAAAGAAAAACCCAGAAAAGGTGTAGTTAGTAATATTAAAAGTATGTGCAAGCATTTGTATTGAGACTTGAAGATTCAGGAATTTGTAACTATCAACAGATCCAATCCCTTAAGCACTAAGGAATGAAGTTATTGATAACCATTGGCTTTTTCACTATAGAAATAATCCAAAACAATCTGACTATTAGAAAAACTTTATATTGCTATAAAAATAAAGCAATTTTTGGAGAAAATATCTGTAATACTCTTCATAACAACAAAACCAACATTTTCTTTACTTCAACGAGGCTTCCTTCTGTAAAAACAGGAATCAAAAAAGTTGCAAAAGCCCAAATCTTTTCCGTTACTCCATTCCCAAGAAAGAAAGCTAGAAAGTAGTAGCCGACTTAATTTAAAATTTCTGATTCTTAGTTCTCATTTATGAAGGGTGTTAGGTAGTATTGATTTTCACCATTAATTACAGAACATATTTTAAATTATTGTGGTTTCAACTATGCTTTTAAGAATAAACAAATTAAGCCAGGCATGGTAATACACAGCTTAATCAAAACATCTGGGGTGGGGGAAGCAGAGGCAACTGATCTCTGTGAGTTCTATGCTAGCAAGGAATATATAGTAAGATCATATCCCAAAAATAAATAAATAAGAAGCAAGCTGTCTAGGCATGTATGATAATAGGCTTGAAAGGATTCAAGTTCGGAGCTGGCCTACACTGTACTATAAACTGTCCCTTGTCCTCTATAGAAAAGAAAAAAACTTAATGTCTCTAATCATTATCATTATAGAAATGTAGGCGACAAATGAGCCCATCATCTTACGTAACCCCTTAAGCATATTCTGTACATCTAATTGTCACAGGTTTCAAATAATCTGTGAAAGTAGATTTTTAAGAAATTCAAAGTAGATTTCTTAAAAAGTGTCTCTAGTAACAATTGCATTTGTAAAATATGGGTACAAGAAAACACAGTTTCTCCCTGACCTCCAGATGTAGCAACTCAATTCCCCCCATTCAAATCTGGTATGAATACTGCTGTTCAAACTCTATCTCTGGTATTTTACCTTTTACATACCTATGCTGCTCTCCTCCAATCCCAACAGGTAGAATCTATACTTTCCATTTCTATTTCGGGACAACCCTTTTCTCTCTTCCAGTCTTGACCCATGCTCCCAATGCCTTTTAGGGGGATCTTTCTAAAAGTAAATTCTTATCTCACAAAGGAAAATCTTAATTGATACAATAACAAAGTCATCAGTTAATACCAATATAAAGATACTGAACCTATAAATTGCTTATCATTTGGGTAAATCTGCCAAAATCTTATAAAAAAATCTAATATGTTACTAGATAATACATTTAAAAGAAACATGGATCAGAACACTTAAGAGTTATACACATCCAATTAGAAAATTGTAAACAGAATTTTGGGGAAAAAAAACAAAAAACAAACTTTCACGACATAGGAAACAAGATTCATACTTTACCTGATGAGTTAGCCTTTGGGTAAGTAATGGTAGGGAATCTGCCACAAAATGAAATTCATCAGGTGTGATACTCTGGCAGCAATTGGCTGCAATTGCTAGTGCATTTCTTTGGGCATTTATGCTGAAGAATTCTAGATACAGCAAGCAGTCTGCCAAGCCACCCTAAAATACAGAAAACTGTTAAAGTGAAAGAAAAATAATCCTTTGACAAAAAGAACTATTATAAATGTCTAGAACATCACATAGCGTAAAATATGTGCATCTTATGGAGCTACAATCAAGGAACTAGCACAATGCAGTTCTGAAATAACATCAAAGGAAATATAGTCTTTTAGCAACAACACTTACCGCCTGTAAAATAGCTTTACTATGTCGCCGTGACAGCATCTCCAAGGCAGTTAAGGCCTGCTCTGCCACATCAATACACTGAATAACTTGCAGCTAGGAACATTAAAGTAGGTACCAAAGGTTATTATTTATTTTTCAACAGTACTTTATCTGCACAAACACTGTATTCATCTATTTGTAGCCACTTACACTACTTCCAACATGAAACCAAACTAGAAAAACTCATCCTTGGGTAAAACTTATAAAGCTTTTACTTTCCTCCCAACAACTTACTGGGCTTTAGGATACTGTAAAATATTACCATAGAACAAAATTCCCTATTTAAAACAAGTTAGTTGATACATGTAGCAAAATTTTTTAAACCTGACTTAAAAAGTACATTTAATCAGAGTCATTATATTTTGCCAGATGAACTAAGTTTTATCGTGCATTTAAGAAAAATGTTAGATATAATAATACAACCTACTAACCGCTGACCATATGAAAAATTTCCTTTCTCCACTAGTCAATTTTGTGAACATAAGCTCTCCTTTGTCTCAAACTTTTCAGCAATCAAATAAGATTATAGCTATGAATTCTACTGTCCTGTTGTTTTGTTAACTCCTTTTATACTGATTGTGATGTGTTGATAGTCTCATACACAAATTCAGAAGTTGGTTTTCACCTTCTACTTTGCTACTAAAGCAGGTCTCTATCTCATGCCTCATCTCTATCTTACAGGTATCAAGATTACAGATACATGCCACTTGGCTTTTTATGTTTGTTCCAGGGATGATAAAAATTCAGCTCATAAGGTTTATCCTTTAAGTGCTAGTACTCAACTCACCAGCCCCCAATGTATTATTTTTAATGAAATGCTTTATGATGCTCTCTGATGTTAACATGTTAAAAGCTATCATAAAAAAATCATGAAGTGGGGCTTTATTTTATAAATAATTTATTAGTTTCAACTACTGGGTTTTTTTGTACATAGTTTTTTTGGTAAATTGGTTAGAAACACATACTTTAATTACATCAAGTACCCTTCAAATAGTTGCTGATAATAAAAGATACACAATACCCGCTTATTACAAGACTTCTCTGGTAAATAAATACATTCATAGAAAAAACTGTTCAAAACTGAACAAAATTTAATCACAGAAACAAATTCAAGAATCCAAAACTTGACTCCTCCTGTGTACTTATGAACAAGCTGTACAAAAGCAGGACTACCTTTTCTAAGAAGACAGGAATAGCATCTACAACAACAGCAGATGATCGAGGGAGCGCTTCCATCATGTACGTTAAGGCTCGGCAAGCATGATTCATCTAGAAAACAGAATGAGTTTTTATTCAATACATACTCAAATTAAAATTTAGGTAGCCTTTAAAAATACATGATGTACTTACAATGTCAAAATTATGTTCCATCTGCAGTAACGTTATCTGTTAGAAACATAACAAAATATTAGAAATTTTTAAAATATTTCTTGCATTTCACTGAAATGAAGAGAATTTTTCTTCCTTGCACTACACACAAAAAAGTAATAGCAAGACATACTTAGGTATTATTATGCTTTTAATGTCTTTCATTGCATGCTACATCTCTAGATTGGCAATGCTGTTATAAGGCATGAAGTTAAAAATCATCATTTCTGTTGCTTACAACCAGCCATTTTAGTAGTTCTAATATACTTCAGAGACACCCACTAACATGAAAGAGATTTATCAACTGACACATCATCAGAACCAGCAATGACTGGTATTCGCTGAATTATTAACACAGATTGAAGACTACAGTTTACATTCTGTGCACATCTAATAGAAATGAGTACTGTCATAACCATATGCTAATGATACAGTAAAATGTGGTTTGAACAGAATTGAATACATTAGAGACTACAATTAATAAATGACATACCAATTAATTACTTCACAAATAAGTAAGTCTAAAAGTTAGAATTTATAGTATTTTCTCATTAGAAAAAGATTTCACAGAGATTGCAGCTATTTTGGTTAAAGGAAGCAATGTAAAGCTCGAAATTTTTAAATGCACTGTATTTCAGGTATCAAGTACCCTTCAAATAGTTGCTGATAATAAAAGATACACAATACCCGATTATTACATGACTTCTCTGGTAAATAAATATTCATAGAAAAAAACTGTTCAAAACTGAAACATTTATACACATTCACCATCTAAATCAGTCCCTTGAAAAACCCATCTAATTTCAAAGGGTTTTCATGCTAACACAAAAACACCAAGTTTCCTAATTGAAAGATGAAAGCTTTCCCTTACACCAAAAGGGACTACTTGTTTTTGCTTTTCTGTTTTGTTATTTCATGTTTTTTTTTTCCTTTGAGATGAGTTTCTTTGTGTAGCCTTGGCTGTTATGGAACTAGTTCTATATTATCAAGCTGGTCTCAAACTCACAGAGATCCACCTGTCTCTGCCTCCCGAATGCTAGGATTAAAAGCGTGTGCCACCACTACCCAGCAAAAAGAACTAATTGTAAATGTCAATTGTTTTAATCTCATTTCTGTTGCTACGATAAAATATCCTTAAAAGTAACTTAGAGGAGAAAGGCTATTTTAGTTAACAAGTACAGGACAGAGTCTATCATTTCAGAGGAAGACAAGGCAGAAACTTGAAGCAGTTAACCACATCAACAATGAAAAACTTACTCCTTACTCAGTACTAATAGGGGATGGTGGAGCCCATTTAAGTTGATGTAATCAAGATAATTCAAAAAAAAAACATGAACTCAGAACAAGATGACCAAAGACCCCCTTTTTATCAAGATTTCCAAATTATTTTAGATTATGTTACGCTGGGAGGATCAGAATTTAATCTGAAGGTTGAGCTAGCAGAAAGGCAAGAAATTGCTTTATAGTTGCCCAAACCAAACCTTTCAAAAGGAAAGAATGTGCTAAGTAATGGCTGTGTGAAGCCCTTTATATTTGGTAGACCTTTACACAGAACTCCTGAATTATCAGGTTTCCATAATGTAAGAATGTGACCAAATGAGAAAATCTCATACTCCATAATTTTTGTCAACTACTTGGATATATGAGAAGGAATATTTATTTAATTTTCAGTAACAAAATATGCTATAAGCCTAATACTTGTATAAAATTAATGGATTCCTGCCTGGCTTGACAATTCTTCCCATGCATAATAATAAACAAATAATAAACACTCAATCTTTCTCCACCACAAAGATAACCCAAAGTATTATTTCCCCAACGAAAAAGGAAATTGAACAATAAAGCCTAGCACATTTTGCGCAGTGAAGAAATAAAGCATTACTGATAGGTTGAAAAAATCATTTAAGTAATGAAGATCAAGTGAGTGACTTCAAGAAAAAATTGGCACAAAAATATTTACGAACTCAAGATGGGTAAATAGCTCATAAGCGAAGTAAGTAAATATAAAAACAGCATGCTTACCAAAGCTGGAACAACACTCTTCACAGGAAAGCCTCCTAATGTCTCCTCATTTCCCATGACCAATAGCTGACACATTTCAATGACTGCCTGAAGCTGTTGACTCTCATCACTCGCTTGTAGTCCTTGAAGAAGCTGTTGGGCCTTAGAACCTGCATGGAAAAAGAAGGCATTACTTTTAAACACTGGAGCTAGAGAAATAGTTCAGCAGTTAGGAGTAATATTACTCTTCCAGAGACTCCAACTCTTTCTAGCAGCAATGTCAGGCTGCACACGATCATTGATAACTGCAACTCTAGGGGTAATCTAACACTTCCTCTGGCCTCCTCACATTCATCCAAACGTGTGTGCATAGAAACATGTAGAAATACTCACAAACATATAAAAAAATTGATCTTTTTAACATTGAAGAGCTGGGGAGATGGCGCAGTTGGACTGAGACCAGATTTCAAAACAAAATGTTTGTCCAACCATGTAGAAATAAAAGACATAATACATATAACTTTAAATACCCACTCCTGGAGACAGATGTTATAATAGCAAAAAGAAAAACGGAAAGCAAACCAAGTCTATGCCACTTTACACTCAAGGGAGAGCAAACTGTTGTTTCTGCTTAGCCTTAACATGACCTCAATTACTTGGTTTATGCTTTTTTTAACTTAAACAAGTACATTAATTTTTAGCAGCAAAACTCACATCACAAAATACCAACAGGAACTGCACTTTCAAAAAAATTTAATGTAGTGAGTATAATTTTAGTCCAATAAAAATTTCCTAATAATGGTATCTGGGTGTAAAAGGAATTTCATGCTTCTTTAAATATACAAACCAGGATTAAATAGAAAACAAAGAAAAGAAACAAAAATTAAGACAGGCAGAATAATGCTTCTGAAGATATGAGGTATTCTGTATAAAAAACAAGACAAATAATCTTTGTAGTTCCAACTGCATTAGCAGGCGCTGACTACCAGTTCATTTTTTAAGCATTGATTTCATTATGCAAATTAGTTACAGTGAAATAACTCAAAATTAAAATCAATACTTGAAGTAAAAGCTCAGTGCTACAATGCTTCCCTAGTATTTACGAGACCTGGGGATCAATCCTCAACATGGTAAACAAATGAGTAAAACCTGCAAATCTGTTTTGTCTCTTCAGAGATGCTAGTAAAATTATTATTTGCACAGTAGGCTTTTAAACTCAGTTATTATTAGGTTTTAAAATATATAAGACTGGATACAAAAATACCTGAAAATAACTTTCAATCTATATAAAATTCACGTCAAAAGTAGTTTACTATAATTAAGGTTCAGATAATCTTCCTGGTGGCATAACACTCAAAAAGACGTGTGACCAATTGGGAAATATTATTTTAAGGTGTGTTATATGTGTCTTTATGCTCTGGAACATTTGTTTAACGATGTAAAGATGTGTTGCTTTTGTTTATGCTGCATTTGTTTAAGTCTATGAAGCTGTGATTCATGGCCTATGTTTTAACAAAGTGCTACATCCCCCATCCCCCGAGACAGGGTTTCTCTGTGGTTTTGGAGCCTGTCCTGGAACTAGCTCTTGTAGACCAGGCTGGTCTCGAACTCAGAGAGATCCGCCTGCCTCCGCCTCCCAGGTGTGCGCCACCACCGCCCGGCTGGTGTGTTGCTTTTGTTTATGCTGCATTTACTTAACTCTGTGAAATTTGCCTATTTAAAACACCTGATGGTCTAATATAGAGCTGAACAGCGAGGCAGGAGCAAAGATAAGCAGAGCTTGCAGAGAGGGTATAAACAATAGGAAGGGAAGGAGCAAAGAGAGAACAAGAGGACTTCAGGAACCTGTCACTCAGCCACCAAGTCAGCCATAGGGTAAATAGAGTAAGATACATAGAAGAAAGAAAGATAAAAGTGCAGAAGCAAAAAGTAGACAGGATAATTTAAGGTAAGAAAAGCTGGCTAGAAATAAACCAAGCTAAGACTGGGCATTCATCTCTAAGAATAAGCCTCCATGGGTGATTTAATTGGGAGCTGGGTGTTGGACTCCCCAAAAAGTCAAAACAACAACAAACAAACAAAAAAACATTACACAACAGTGACCTTTGCAAGACTTGTTTTCTGTACTATATGTAACTAAAATTTGTATAATTGCTGCCTACTATCTTGTAATAACTAAAAGTCTACCTGAAAACAAAATGCACAGACATGTTCAAAATAATACAACTTCTAAATTCTAAACTAAGTATTAGTATCAGTATGGCAGGTATATCATTTGTGCTTAAACAATACATAATTTAAAAAAAAGTAGCTAAGAAAAAGAAATCACCAGTAGTTCCTAATTTCACCTAAAAAGGATGAAATGATGTACACCAAGTTTATCTCAGCAACACAATCACCTAAAAGAGAGAAAAACTGGCAAATATGCCATGCAATGGGTGTCTCAAACACTGAAGCTGGCAAGCCTAAGTATAATCACTATCCGTGAGATTACAATTATCTAAAGCCCTATATCAAAACAACTGTGTGAGAACTTCAGTAAAAACAATGGCCAAACTGGTTAAGTACCTCTGATGCATGAAGAAATCCAATTACTAGCAGAACATTTCAGATATTGGATCATTTTATATTCATAAACGATTAAGTTAGGGGTTCAATTGTAGACCATATGACCAGCAAGCAAGGATGATGCCATGCATTCAACTCTACCACCAGGAAATAAATAGAATAAAAGCAGCAGCAGTCATCACCACCCATAGCATTGTTTAAGTAGGCTAAAAGTACTTCTAATCAAAACTTGGTGCATATTGAGAGTTCTTATACTCAGAATTAAAATTGTCTTTTCTCAAAATAAATAATAAAAACTGTGTTGTTACTGTGTATCTTGCAAGTCATCTCAATGTCAATAACAAGATATTACTTACTCCCTATGCTGAAATCAAGTAAATAAAAAGAATGTTTCTCATTATGTTACAAAGATCACAAACACTAATTAGGAGTAAAGACCAAGTGAGTTCATGTACATATTTCAAAGCCTTCATAAAGCAAAACTGGAATTACTGAATTCACCAGCATTTAATATAAGTATTCAGGCTGGCACTGAAATTATAACTGACAAATCTGAGAATGGGAAGTATTGCTTTGCTTCTTGTTAAGCTACCAGCAGTTTGTAGTATCAGTTTAAACATCAACTGAGGTGGAAAGGGAAAGCCCAGTATTGCAATTACTAGTCATGTCCTTATATTTTCATGTAAGGATTTCAGGAACCTCCCACATAGCCACAGACCAACATTCCAATAAGCACTGGAGATCAGGAATTGGCAGGCCAACATATTCTATAAGGAGCTTTGGAGGTCATATGATCTCCACTGTAGCTATCCCAATTATGACTGTAGTATTATAGTTCAAAAGTAGACACAGACAATACCAAACTAATGAACATGGCTCTGGTCCATTAAAACTTTATGGAAAGTAAAATTTGAAATTCACTTAATTTTCAACTCAAAATATGATGCTTCATTTTTTTTTTTCCAAGCACTTACAAGACATTTCTAGTTCTCAGGCTACATAAAAAGAAAGTGGGAGTAACTGAGATGGCACAGACCAACTGAACTCAGTCTGTAGATCCTATACTGGAGTGAGAAAAGTGGCTCCTGACAGTTGTCCCCTTACCTCCACATAAAATGCAATGCACACATTAAACAAACAAACAAACAAAGCAAAATCAAGCAGAGGCCAGATTGGTCCTAGTCAGGATATTGCAGAATCGTAACTTTTTATATTTTATGAAGAAAAGGAGGGAAAGATCACTAGCAGACGTTACCTGATAAGTCTCTTCAGTTCTTTTATACAGAAATTAAAAAAATACTAGGTTAATTGATAAAAATTGGAAATACAAGACTAAATTATAAAGAGGAAAAAATCAACACTTCTAGGATGTTAACTGTGACAATAGTCTAAAAAACACAAGCAATGGGCTGGGAATATGGCTCATCGGTGTAATGCATAAGGGTCAATGGTTCCAGTACCCCCCAGTTGCCAAAGAAAACAAGGGACAGGGCACTACAGAATTTCAACAGAAATCTGCAATAAAGAATCAAAGAACTGCCTAAAACTGAAAAACACAGCATTTCAAATTAACTCAATACAAAGCAAATAGGTAGCAAAAGATTGTAGCAGACAACTTTTTAGAAAAAAAACATTGTTATTAGGTGTAGTGGCACATTTAATCCCAGCACTAGGTAGACAGAGGCAAGCAGACCTCTAAATTCAAAGCCAGCCTGGTCTACAGAGTTCTACACAGAGAAATGTTAACTACAACACACACACACACACACACACACACACACACACACACACACAGCCCTGCTCACAGGAAAAAGAAAATGCTACAAAATGAAAACAAAAATTAAAAGAAAAACTTAATGGAGATAAACTATGGCAACTGGGGGGTGCTGGTGTTATATGAGAAAATAGCCTTAGAAATTTAAGGCATAATAATTTTTCAAACAAAAAGAGATTGCTATTGGTCACCCTTTACTTCCATGACATACAGTTCTCCAGCCAAAAGAAAATCATGCAAGCAGAAATTAAGCACAATGGAAAGAATAAACAGTTTTTACAATGCATCTAAAACAATGATTAAGTGTTATCAAATTTATAAGAAATGTTTCATACAACAGTAACAGAGGAGGCCAGAAACTAAACCATTACCATTCTTATACTGCTTTTGATATCACAAATTACTAAATTAAGATATACTAAACCAAGGCTATATATAATAATTTCTAGGGAAACCATTAACACACACAGCTGACAATTTAGTAGAATATATTAAAAATAATACCAGATGAATATCAAAATGTTAGCAGTCCTCACCTTAAGTTTTCTAAAAGCCCCCAAATACAACACTATACTATTGTTATACATGATAAATACACGGTGGTAGAGCCCCACAGTGGGAAATTCATAGCTAATAACTGTGGACACCTGTCATTTGATCCAACAACCATGTTTTCGTAGAAAATAAAGCAGGGAGCTGGAGAGATGGCTCAGGGGTTAAGAGCATAGGCTGCTCTTCCAGAAGACCTGAGTTCAATTCCCAGCAACCACATGGTGGTCAGAGAGACAAATTCAAGGCCAGCTTGGGTTATAAAATTAGCCTAAGACAGGGTAAGTAAAGCTCTGTTTCAAAAATATTTCTTTTAACTAAAGAGTAGAAGGGTGTGGTTGCACACACTTTTAATCTCAGCGTTTAGGCTCTCTGTATCTCAGGACAGTCAGCCCTACATAGCCAGGACAGCTAAAGCTATATGATAGAGATTCTGTTAAAAAACAGAAACAAACAGAACAAAACAAAGGGATTAGGAAGTAACCCCTCAAAAACATCCTATAATCAAACAGGACAAAGTAAATACCAGTTTAAAAAAAAAATCACTAAAATATCTGGAAATAGTGCAAGTTCACTGCTTATAATAATGCATTTCCAGTTTGACCAAAAAAAAAAAAAAAAAAAAAAAACCCACCACCAACAACAACAAAAAACTTTCTGCCTATTGACACGGATGAGAAAGCATCGCTAAAGGCTCTCATTTCCCTGTGGTCATGTCTAAATCAGAGTCTCCCAAGGAGCCAGAACATCTGTGGAGGCTTTTTTGAGCAATGGGTAACACTCATAGGATGTGTGATAATGAGAGATCCAAACAATCCAGGGGCTTTGGGTTTGTTACACACGCCACTGTAGAGGAAGTGGATGCCGCTATGAATGCAAGACCCCATAAGGTGGATGAAAGAGTTGTGGAACCTAAGAGAGCTGTGTCAAGAGAGGATTCTCAGAGACCAGGTGCCCACTTAACCGTGAAAAAGATCTTTGTCGGTGGTATTAAAGAAGACAAGGAAGAACATCATGTGAGAGATTATTTTGTCACCTTTGATGACCATGACTCTGTGGACAAGATTATTCAGAAATACCATACTGTGAATGGGCACAGCTGTGAAACAAGAAAAGCCCTATCCAAGCAGGAGATGGCTAGTGCTTCGTCCAGCCAAAGAGGTCGAAGTTGTTCCGGAAACTTTGGTGGTGGTGGTGGAGGTGGTTTGGGCAGCAATGACAATTTTAGTTGAGGGAGAAACTTCAGTGGTCGTGGTGGCTTCGATGGCAGCCATGGTGGCAGTGGGTATGGCTCTAATGGATTTGATAGTGATGAAAGCAATTTTGGAGGTGGAGGAAGCTACAATGATTTTGGCAATTACAACAATCAGTCTTCAAATTTTGGACCAATAAAAGGAGAAGTGCTGGCCCTTATGGTGGTGGAGGCCAGTACTTTGCTAAGCCACGAAACCAAGGTGGCTATGGTGGTTCCAGCAGCAGCAGCAGGTTCTAATTACAGCCAGGAAACAAAGCTTAGCAGGAGAGGAGAGCCAGAGAAGTGACAGGGAAGCTACAGGTTACAACAGATTGTGAACTCAGCCAAGCACAGTAGTGACTGCTACAAAGACAACATGACAATATTCGTGGGGGGGCCTCCAGGACTGTATTTGTGACTAATTAACAGGTTATTTTAGTTCCCGTTCTGTCGAAAGTGTAAAATTCCAACAAAGGGTTTTACTGTAGACCTTTTTTTTCACCCACGCTGTTAATTGCTAAATGTTAGTCTGATCAAGACGCTGAATGTTTTTTTTTTCTTATTAAAAAATAAAAACCTCAACCACCACGAAAACAAAAAACTCCTTTATAACCTAAAAGGATGTTAAAACCACTATTTTGAAAATTAGGCAAATAATAAGAAAAATCAATTTCCCTGTAGCAACTATCCTATGTAATCAAAAGGGAAAGTCATCTTTCATGTATTTCCACTAAATACTTCTCAGAAATTTGATCTAAATGCTATCATCTTGTAAACTTTGAAACTTGAGTTTAGTTTGCCAGGGAACAACCAGAAATTATGTTAATCCTACTTGTGTGTGGCATAAAGTATGCCTAGGAAAACAGGATCTCTCCTTCCAGTATGTAGGTTCCAAGGATTAAACTCAGATCATTAGGTACATGGGACACGTCTACAGTACTATAATCCTTAGCATAAAAACATACTACCATTTTGAGCAATCATTTTTCACTAGGTAAAAAGGGGTAGACAGGTGTCAAATCCAGGTCTAGAGACATGAGATTAAGAACACTTGCTCTTTTAATAGAATGGTTTCTCAATGCTCACAAGGAGATTAACTACAGTTTTAGTGATTATGACCCTCTCTTGAGATTTCTGAAGACACTGCATGCACATTGTGCATATACACACAAACATGCAGTCAGGCAAAACAGAAACCTAAAATCAAAGTAATTTTAAAACAACCACAAATCTGAAATAGACACAAGAACTAGCAATTTATAAGAAATAAACTTATTTTAAACAAAAGAAATTTAATGTTAGATACCATTGAGGAATAAATGTAAGAGCAGTAAATTTGTATTTGTGTTAAAAAAAAAAAAAACCTAAGTAACGAAAGGTTCTAATTATGTAATATCTGGAATTTAGTTCAAACACAAGGAAGAATATGGGTTAAGAATAAGGATAAGGACTGGAGAAATGGATCAGCAGATAGGAGTTATCATTGATCACTGAGCAGACCCAAGTTTAGTTCTCAGCATCCACACCAGGCAGCTCACAATTGCCTGTAACACCAGCTCTAGAGAATTCATCTCCCTTTGTTAGACTGTGAGGGCTCCTCCACACATATGCATACAGACACACAAGAACACACAAATCAACAGTTGACATACACACCACAAATAAATCTTTAAATATATACAGGGCTAGAGATGGCTCAGTGGTTAACAGCAATGACTTGTATTCCAGAGAACCCAGGTTCAATTCCCAACATCCTCATGGTGGTTCACAACCATCTCTAACTATTTCTAGAATATCTGATGTCCTCTCCTGGACTCAGTGGGCACCAAATATGCAAAGAGGGCAGAGATAATGCAAGCAAATAACTCACCCATAATTAAAATTAGTGAGGTGTGCAGCATCTCAACCAGCTAGATAAGGAATTTCAATGTCAAATTTATAAGGCCCCGACCCAACTTTCCAATCTTCAACTTAATGAAATGGCAAAATAATTTTAGAAAAACAAAAAAGCATAAACACTGCAATGTATGAATCATACTAAACAAAGTTTTTAATATTTAAGAACAGCAATATTTCTTAAACATAATCAACATTTTAAACTATGCCTGCTTATTATTAGCTTATGTTAAAGAATATACAGATGTTTTTAGTGTGAAAGGAATGGCAGACGGTATACATGAAGCAGTAATTACTGAAGACTATTAAGTTTCAACTTGGGTCTGAGTTGTGTTTATTATCTCATGCCACTTCCCGTCACTCAACCTTGTGGCTGCCCTACCAGGGTACTCTGTGACTTGGTAGATGTATGTACCTTTTGGGTTTAGCATTTATCACTGTCCAGTTTCCTAAATATGCAAACTCAGGCCCACATCTCACGCAGTACACATTCTTTCTGTGGGATCTATGTACTGCTAGTTTCTAATTACATTTATATATCTACAAAATTCTCATGTCTCTGAAGTTTCTCTAATCAAACAACCTCTCTTCCTTCCTAACTGGCCTACATCCTTACTATATTTTTTTTTTCACTGTATGGATACTACTCTCTGCATTTTTAACATACTGTATTATTTGTGTCCGAGGTAGAAGGCCATTTAGAAGACAATTCTGCTTAAATGTATTTATGATTAGTATAATACCAGCATCTAGTAAATAGTATTAAATAAATATTCAAGAGTTCAAGAAGACAGGTATGGTAGTGTCTACCCATAATCCCAATACATGGGAGACCCAAGGACTCAGTTATAATTAAGCCTGGGCTATATTGTATAACTCACAAAACTCTCAAAAAGAGAACTCTGTGGCAGAATATGCCACCTGGAATGTAGGGAAACAAAAACACAATTGCTTTTAAGTTTTCTATCTAATAAAAGTCAGAAATGAGTTGTGCTGTTTGGTTGTTTTGCCTGCATGTATGTCTGTGTGAGAATGCCAGATCTTGGAGATAAAGACAGTTGTAAGCTACCATGTGGGTGCTGGGAATTGAACTTGGGTGCTCCAGAAGCACAGTCAATGCTCTCGACCTCCAAGTTGTCTCTCTAGCCCGCTGATTTTTGTTGGTTTGGCGGGGAGGGCACAACAGAAGGAATATTCAGGTATAAAAATTACACATAATGCAAAAAATGTTTTTTGTTTTCATTTTTTGGTTAAGACAGGGTTTCTCTGTGTTGCCTTGGCTATCCTGGTACTTTACTTTGTAGACCAGGTTGGCCTCGAACTCACTCAGAAATCTGCCTGCTTCTGTCTCCCCAGTGCTAGAATTAGGCCCAGCTTATAAAGCAATATTTTAACTAGAAAATAAGGCTTAGAAAACAAAGATGCTTGGTATATGAGCCTGATGGGGTCCATCCTTAAACCTATACAAAGTTAGAGAGGACCAAGTTTAAAGTAGCCTTCAGACCTCCACAACTTGTCCTAGCATGTGCACCCACACAAATCAAGCATATATTCAAACATGCCCACACTAATACCAGCTGTAAGACTTTATTTTATTTTTAAAACTTCAAATACTTAAGGATATATATTAGTCAGTTAATAAGCTGACTATAAAGTTATAAAAAAATTAACCAAATGTTAAGTCAAAAAGGATTTTAACTCGACTTTTAACTATACGACAGGACTTCCCATTATAAATCAAGACTATAGTCACTGTTATGTCTGGTGAGAAGTAATGCTGCTGAGAAATTGTTCCTTTCAGGTTCATGTTAACACTGTCTTATGGGGTAAATTTTATAAAGCTTCAGATAAAAAAATAAACTGAAAATATGTAACCAGATGACATAACTATCTATGATTCTTTCCTACAGTTAGAAAAAATATTTTTTTCAATAAAAATCTGGATTATTTTTGTGATTCCAATTGAGCAGTCAAAAACAAAAGTACAGAAGGAAATCGAAAAGATTTTAAATTATTATATCAACAAGTAATCAATAAGAGTAACATTTAACTAATTATTCAGAGATTTCAATTGAGGGAGGAAACGTTTTAAAGTATTCACTTACTAGCTCCGCTTCCAATTGTTCTATGGAAAAGCTGTGACATCCGAGGACCAAGAGGACCAAACAGGTGAGGAGGAAGACCCCTGGCCTCTAACAGGGCTAAAGAAAAAAAAAAGGCAGGGGAGTAGTTGAGTTGATTTAAAAAATTGTTCTTATCTAAAAATGTCAAGGAAGTGATTCATCTCACATATCCCAATGTTACTTTCCAATCTGAATTTTAAGAGAAACTAAGTTAAATTTCTAAAACCTCAGACATAAACAAATTTAGTTTCTACAAATTAAAGAACCCCATGACATCTTCAAATATATTCAAGTTTTAGGGAGAAGTTAAAACATATCCTGACCAAAACTATGTAAGAAACCATGAGGCAAATTAAGCATTTTAGGTAAAGTCATATATAAAAAGAGCCCTTGCCTCGTTTTTCCATAAACATTACTTCCCAGAGAGATTTTGGTAAACCTGTCCAAACCCATGAAAATCATTTTTACCAGTTAACAAAGAAAAGCTATGTTTGTAAGTGGGACCACAGAAGAAATTATAAAAACTTGTTATCTTTCAGGAACTGTAAAGCAATGTGAAGCTGACATATATCTCTTTTAAGTCTTATATTGAAAATCCATCATCTGAGATTTAAGTACAAACTCACCTATTCAAACATGGAGTACATACAATACAACATTGTATTTTAAAGGCTCTGAGAACATTAACAAAAATAAAAAAAGAAAACTAACTAGAGTTTTAAAAACAAACATGGGACTTGGGGAAAGCCCATGCTATTAGATTTATGGTGTTAGACACCACAGAGTAACAACATATTGAGGTGCTGTGTAAATGTATTGCTAAAGCCAATTACACATGTGAATTAACTTTTTTTTAAAAACTGAGGCTTTTGCTTGGTTAAACAGTAAGAACGAAGACGCAGACAGGTCATTTCCAAACTCAAAATATCACGTTGTCATGAAGCACATTTTTTTCCTCCAGAGGAGCAGGTATACCTAGAACTGCTAGACAACATTCAGGTGAATATATATGAACTGATTGATTCAAGTCAAGAATAGGAGGATCTGCAGCCTGTGATAATCATTTCTTGCACACACAATAGCTCTCTTTACCTTGTAATCGTCCCATCTCAGAATCATCCGATTCACTCTCCCCAGAGGTGGTCATGCCAACAGCCCCTGCAACAGAACTAGAGGCTTGGGGAGAGGGAGGTAAGGATTAGGAGGAGTATTTAATCTCATATGCCTGGCTTACCTTAAAGAAAAACCAAAGTTAACAGACTATAATAAAATTAAATGTGTCTTCCTACACACTCAGCCATTCTACAATCCCTTCCATAAAATGTAGGAGCAAAAAGAGAGCTCAGCTACTTTTATAAACATAATCATAAACTTTGAAACCTTCAAGCCCCTGAAACAGCTTTCTCCTGAATTCCTCTGCTGTTCATTAATCAAGTCAGGCTCTAAATTATAGTTCAGAAGTGTAAATAATCATTTATGTTTTCTCTAATTGCAAGAGATTATATACACTCTTCCTTTGGGAATGAACTACTAAAGACATACATTACAATTTACACGTAAGTGCAAAGAATTGCAATGAAGTTATGAAAAAGCGGAAAGATGCCAAAAATTAAAGTAGAATGAAGACTTCTACTACACAATATATATGAACCAAATAAAAAACAAAACCAGTTTAAGTTAACAGCAGCAGATATTATAACTCTTAGAGAAACTAGTAGTCTGCTAAATCACTAAGTGTATGCTGAGACACACACAGTTTCAAAAATAGGATTGGTCTACGTATGACTACATCAGCCTACTTACTGGACATTGACAGAATGCAAGGCAAAAACACAGAGGTTTATGACTGACATAAACTTGGGATTTCTTCTGAGTAGGACATCACCAGCAGAGAGGACAAACACACACACACACACACAAACCACAAGACCCCATTAAAAAGTAAAAGAAGCCAATGTGCCAGTCACTAACCAATTCAACAATTTTAGAAAATGTTTCTTTACATATTGTATTAACTTCACCGGACTCTTTAATTCTTAAACATAATTTAGAAAAAAAGGGAACAAACAGTGGCCCATAGGCCAAATCTAGTTCATTAGTTATTTGTTAATATAACTGATAAACACATAGCTGTATGCATTTTTTATGAACTGTCTTGCTGCCGTTTTCCAATTACAATCCCAATGTTAACATTTTCATAATTAAAGTTAAAGCCTCTAAGATTAACACAGAAGATAAAAAGACTAAACTGCACCATATAAGGCTATTTATGAGGAAGCATTAATACGCATATATGCTGAATTGTCAACATTTGTCAACAACCAATATTCTTCATGCACAGGAAAAAATTAAGCTTCATGACTTCAACTGCTCATGCCACCTAATAATCAGGTTAGAACCCAGAGAGCCAGGCTTCACCCCTACACTCTAAACTATACTTCTAAAACACATCCCTTAGCTGGAAATTTTAATTCAGTTACAACCATTGTACCAAGCCCTATCAACAAGTAATAATATTTTAGGTACTAATTAAGACCCAGTCTGGTCAAGTGGCTTTTTTTAAGCATGGGAAAGCAAGCAAAATTAAACATAAAATGTCCAAGAATCTACAATCATTAAAAGGTATCTCTATTTCTAATAAATTTCATAATAAACACAGCAAGCTACATTTCGACAAAGATGTTAACTAAGAAATGCAATTTTTGAAACATAATTAGGAGCCCCGTTTAGTGACAAAAAAACTTGGCCTGACTAATATAAGTCAGACAGGTCTAATTCTCAATAATAGTAATCGGCCAAAAGGATTCTATTACAGTGGAACTCTAATAGTGTGACCTTCCTCCTCCCAAAACCACTCTATAAAAAGGATAGGTATTTTTCTTTTTCAAAAGGTTAAGTTGCCAATAGTGAAGAAACTGAACTTTTTGCCATCCCTTAGTGTGTAGAAGCCAAGGGAAGACATCAAGTTTGTCCATCTATGTATGGGTACCAGGCTTACTCCTGAAATAGTGTCTCTATATGCTGGCCTAGGCCAACACTGGGGTTACAATACTGTAAACACAAGTCCAGCTTTTTAAGAGGTACTAAGGAATCTCAACTCATACTTTCCTGCTTCTGCAGCAACAGCTTAAGTCACTGAGTTCCCCACAGACCTTGGTAGCTCTTTCCAACTTTGACACAATTGTCCAATGATGTGACGTTCCCTTTATATACTGTTGTACAATATTAAGCATTCAGATTAATCTAGCCTTTAAGCTAATTTAATTAAAAATAGTTTTTTTTTTAAAAAAAAAATAACACCTGTTAACTCAAAAAGCCCAAAAACTTTATTCATAACCAAAGTAATCGGAAAGAGAAGGCATTAAAAATGGTGGTGGTGGTGCAGGCCTTAATTCTAGCACTCAGGAAGCAGAGGCAGGAGGATCTTTGTAAGTTCAAGACAAGCCTGCTCTAATTCCAGGACAACTAGGGCTGTTAAAAAGAGAAACCCTGTCTCAAAAAAAATCAGAGAAGAAAAAAAAAAAAGAAACTGCGTGCAGGAGTATGGTAGCTTACACCTTTAATCCCTGCACTTAGAAGAGGAAACAAGGCAAGTTCTGTGCATTGGAAGCCAGAGTGACACCAGGCCAGCCAGAACTACATAGTGAGAACCTATCTTTTGTTGTTTATAGGACTGTTAATCTTTAATTTTTATCTAGTTTTAATTTCAAAACAAAATAAAACCAAAAGCACCACAATATAAAACACCCAACCACTCTATTTGGTGAAGGAGGGAGGTTTCCTGTCTTAAGGCATCAATGACAGAATAGAGGAAAATAAAAACTGGACATAAGCAGAGAGCCAGGTAGAGATCCTGTCTTAAAAACAACAAAAATAATGATTTCTAGGATATGACCCTGACCATTTCTTGAAGTTATGAAGTCTTGATATAAAAAGTGAATACCAGGACACTGTCTATTTTCCCTTGCCAACTACAGAACCACTGTTCAAAAGACAGACATCAAAAAGTAGTTCAAATCACCCCAAATGTGTCCTCTATGCTAATTTTGGCTTGTATTTTATACATAGAAAAGCTAAAGTAGATTTTCCCAGAAGTATTTTACCTCAAACCAGAGGAATTTCTGCTATGCATAAAGAAACTACTAAACTCAATGCTACTCTAACAGCAGTAAACATCCATGTGAACATTTCATCAAAAAAAAAAAAAAAAAAAAAGACGAGAGGGGGGGCGCCCTCTATCACAGTGATTTCAAATGTAAATGTCAAACACACTACAGTCACTTGAAGCATTTATCCTCTCTTAGATAATGTATCAAAGACCAAATCTACCCTTTCTAGCCTTGAAATGTATACACGTAAATTAAACTCTTCTAACCCCTAGGGAGAGAACACAGCTGTACTTTGTTTCTATGACCTGGATTGAAGCGTCATAAATCTTAGCTTAGAACTCTGGGAAAGCTTAACCAATGTGTGCCTCAGTTTCCCCCTCATTTATAAATGACAGAAACAGAACTCACACCTCAGCAGGTTGTTTTGAATAGTCAATGGGATTATGTGGGGGAATGTTTAAAGCCACAAATGCAGAGTGAACAGGTGTTACAATTAAAATTACTTTAACAGTAAACTCTAACAATGAATTCAGAAATCTCATTTCTGTCACTCATTTGATGACTGACCTTATACTTTAATATTCTGACTTGAAATAAGTAACGAGAGGATAGGAAGTGATGTTCAACACTGAAAAGGAGAGGCCCTGTTATTATCAACAGCCTGAATGAGCCTGCAAGTGATATAGCTTGTATTCTTCCAAATATTTACCAATAACTAGTTAGAAAAACAGAAGGGAATCTTTAAAATTTAATCCCCAATAGAAGAGATGCTACAAATTCACTGTATAATTCTTCTTAATTTAGATACAGCAATGGCTTCAAAATAAGCCTAGCTAAGCAGAGTACAATAACCATGAGTAACCAGACCTTTCCAACAATCTAATTTATTACCAACCACAGGCAAAAACAAAACTACTGTATAGTCTAATGGCAAACCACACTACATAAAAGCTTTGTCAAAAAGTCTGTATATGCTTTGCAACTAAATTTGATGTAGCATGGTTGTAGAAATACATACACATTCATAAATGAAAAATTACAGTGTTAATTCTGTTTTAAAAGAGCAATTATACACTAGATTTTAAATTTCACTTACCACAACTATGGTAATGGTAACAGATACTTAAAGCTAAAAAAAAATGCATTTTTTTCCTTGGGAGGGGGGGTGACACCCAAAGATTATAAAGAAAATAATTTTAAAGCCCATAGAAATCTAAATACTATTATTATAGTATCTTCAGAACAAAATTAATTTTTAAGGGCTTACAAAATGCTAAGAGTCATATGCTTACAAAACAATTTAAAATACATTCTTACATTTTTATTATAAAATTAAATTCACTAAAACAATTGTTAGTCAACTCATCATATATATTGATCCATATATAAAAACCTTAAATAGAAAATTTACACCTTTGTATAAAGCCCTCTGAATGTATCTAGTAAACGTATGAACTGGATGATAATTAAATTTTAACAATGAACCTACTAATCAAAACACCTAATTTATTATGTACAACAAAATTGGGTGGGGGGAATATTTGATGGTAACATCTATGGAACATTCTGTTCCCTCCTTTATCTTACTTATAAATTGAAAAAATTAATCCAGAAATAAATTTTTAAGACAAAAAAAAAAGTCTCAGAACTAAGAAGTGCCCGTCTACCTGCTGCTCCTTGAGGAGCTTCATCTGTCCGGGCAGCTGAGGAATTTACTGTCTCCTGGTTGCTTTCTGGGTCTGCCATTTTCTCTTGCCGCCGAGCCTCAGCTGCTCCTCTCTTGCCCAGGCCAGAGCCTCGCCGACTGCAACAGAAAAATGTCATCACAATCAGCATTACCAAGGCACGAGGAGCAATGTATAGACAACGCAAAGCTCAAATTCATACAGCACAAAGCCAGTTTCTTCTCCCTTTTAAATAAAAACTGTTATCAAAAAAAAATCACTGAGACTTTGTATTTCTGAAATTCTTCCAAGGTATAGCTCACACAGTACAAGCTTTTGTTACTGGAGCTATTGTCATCTTTACAGACAGAAATGATTTTAAACACTTCCAGCTAAATGGAAAAGTGGATCTTCCTGGAGGACGAAAAAAAAAAAATCTACACGTTTAAAATACAAACTCACTTCCAAACATAGACAATGGCTTACAGAATGACAGCAAAAACAGTAGGATCAAAAGATGAGAGAGATCATGCCCATACTCTTATATCAGACTACCTAAACCATTTAAATCAAATATCTTAACAACGTTTAATAATAATTAAACATAGGTTTAATACTTATGAACACCACATATGACCTTGAGAAAGTCAGTTTTAAGGACAGACTGTAAGTGCAACCTGATAGTGTCGAGTAACACAAAGAGAACTGGTTCAATGAGCATGAGAATGAAGCTCCAACTAACCTGAGTAATTGAGTTTATTTTTAGCCAACTCTAAACAGGAGTGGGCTTAACTAATCTTTGCTTCAAAAGTAAAGAAATCATTCAAACCTAACTTAGTATCAAGCTGCAAATAAGATTTAAATACATTCAACATGTAATTTTCACAATACTCTAGGTGAAACACTCTGTATATACAAGATGTTACTCAAAGATTGTTTCTCTGAAAGAAGCCCACAACACAAGCTCATTAGGTCAATAAGGCATAAAAAATAAAAAAATCTTAAAAATTCATAAAAGGTTGTAGACCAAGACTGTTTAATGCAAGTATGCTAGACGGCTTGTGCACAACGTGACCACATATACTGAAATTTTACATGCACTGATCACAAGGCCATGTGTAACAAAAGGGTGCAATGAAAGAAAAAGAAAATTATATTAACACTAAATAATCTATCTGACTTCACATGCAGCAAATTCAAACTATAACCCTTTGGTAAGACTGAAAGGTGGAAGGAGTACTGCAGAGTTGTACAGTTAAGGGAGCATATATCTCTTCTAGGTGATCAGAGGTCAATTCTGAGCTCCCAGAATCCACACAGGAAAGCTCACAATTGCCTGTAACTCCAGCTTAAGAAGATCAGTCACCTTGGACCCCTAAAAGCACCTCCACATTATCAATAAACATAAAGATTATTTTAGAAAATGATTTTTTTTTTCATTTTTTTTAGAACGTTGAAAATTTGGCACAAAATGTGAATAAAGCTCTGTAGAACTCAGAATTATTTTCTCACAAGCCCTCAAAGGGCATTTGAGGTTTCAGTCAGTTACACTAGTTCTAGATACTTTAAAAGCAATATGGAAAATATGTGTGTGGAGGACAGAAAACAGAAGTTTCTTATTCTCGGGCTATGAAGATTTCATATTCTATTTGAATACTGTGGCATAAATCTTTAATCCCAGAGCTCAGAGAAATCTTTGGGTTTGAGGCCAGCCTGGACTACACAGTGAATTCCAGTACCCCCAGGGCTACATAGAGAGAACCTGTCTCATTTAAAGAAAAAAGTCAAATTCTCTCCTCATGTCATCATTAAACTCTGAAAACTGATCAAAACTGAGTCGTAGGAAATAACCAAATGTCATTCAAAAATTTGACTGCCTACTTAAATCTGAACAGAAATACGTCAGCCTAAAAATCAGTGACCCATTACTATTTTTACTGCATTTTCTAGAAGAAACTACATTTAAAAGAGGAAGAGTTTGCCGGGTGATGGTGGTGCACGCCTTTAATCCCAGCACTCAGAGGCAGAGGCTGGTGGATCTCTGTGAATTCCAGGCCAGCCTGGACCACAAGAGCTAGTTCCAGGACAGGCTCCAAAGCTACAGAAAAATATGATCTGAAAAAAATAAAGAGAGAGAGAGAGAGAGAGAGAGAGAGAGAGAGAGAGAGAGAGAGAGAGAGAGAGAGAGAGAGAG